GATACTGGATACAGTTATGTTTTTGCACAGCTGTTTCCTAGAACCTTCACTGCATTAGAAGATATAAGAAATGACCCCATGAATACTTTCATTATAGTGGAACTGTTGTAAACCACTCAGCTTTACCTCATCCTCAAACACACCCTCAAACATCCTCAGTTAGAGCTTCCTGCTTCATCATTTTGTTTGTATTCAGCAATTATCCAGCTGTCAGCTCTTCTTTTTTTCCATTCTTCAAGCTCATAATTGAATAATGTAAATGGTGTTTGCTGCAGAGATTAGGGTGAGCTTGGAGTTCTCAGAGCATGGGGGTGAGTAATTAATGACTTAATTTTCATTTTTGAGAATTGACAGTGTTGTCTCTTGACTTTCTATCCCACTATCCTTATCTTTTTCTCCTGCCTTCTTTCCTTCTCCAATGGATATTTTGTTCACATCAAACACTAAAACCCCACTAAGGCGCCGCACAGTTCTCCGTAGGAAGTGTCTATTTGTTTTGCTGGAGATAAACCTCTAGGAGGCACATCAAACGCTGGGAGATCTGTGCTGTTCTCCTGCTGCTTTTTGAATCACTGATCGTGTGATTGCGGCCCTCTTTGCTGCCTTTGTACTGATTATCGGGCCCTTCTGTTAGTGCTAATGCTGATTACCAGAGTGCTACAGATTTACCAAAATATCATCTTTATTCAGTGCCATCTTATCACCCTGAGTAGGTTGTTCTCCATGCTTACCGATAACATGGTCAAGAAATACTAGTGATAATGGAAATGATCAGCAAATTGCCATTTCCAAACATTGTTTTTGTAACACTTATAATATGACACACTGCTTTAGAAGATACCTATGTTTAATTACATGTATGTATATCATATTCAAGCACATTCCAATGTATAGATGTCAGTGAATCAAAATAGTGAGATGTGACCTAGGTTAGCGGTATACAGGCGATTAGGTTCGAATTTGGCTTGGGTAACTTTTCCGTTCCCTCTTGCCACTGTTCTCCATATATTTTCTCATGTATCCTTTTTAGAATTTAATTATGAATAAAATTACAATAATCCAAATATCAAATTTTAAAAAAGTTCATGTAATTTCTAACTATTGAATATACAACATCTAATGATCTGTTAAGCATTTTATGATGTAAAAATAATACTGACTTATCTAATTTTGAATTTTTTGAAAAGTGTTTGAAAAGTAACATTTTGTGAGTGAAACCTGTATTTATTTATTTTATTTTTTTGACACATGCTCCCACTGAGGAATTGACAAGCTTTCGGCCTCTTTTCCCCATTGTTCATCTTCCCTATACTACTTTCTGAATTCTTTTATATTTAATCTCTTTTTTAGGGCCCAAGCCCTGAAAACGCGAAGGCCCTATTGTTTTCCTTAGGATACTTTTTGTTTTTAATGTTCTATCGACTTTTCGGGCACTTTTGGGGCCTTTTGCTCAAAAACTGTGATGGTAACTAAAGGAATCGGGGTTGTGGTGCCACCGGCTTGGGCCCATCATCGCTGCTTGCAGCTATATATATTTTAATATTTGTATTATATCATAAGTAATTCACACTGCATTGTATTTTAAACCACACACTTTGAAAGTAGGGCTTAGCTGAGGTTTTTTTTTTATCAGTTAAAGTATAGTTTATCTTTAGCATTCATGTATTTAACCACCTTAGGCTTAGAAAAAGCTGAAGGGCCCAGGCTTTTCAAGTAGAATTAAAGTCGGCATGAAACTAATGTTGTGATAGTCTTTTCTTCCCTGTTGTGACATATCCAAGTCATGCTGACTTTAAATATACTTCTTTAAAAAAATCCCTCTTATTTTCCGTGTCATTTCATTTTCAACTGCTTTCCTGTCCTTGAAACTAAGCTCTTCCCTTCCCCCTTCACTCAATTTACCTCTGTGCAACCTGTAGGTTCACTTTCCCAGTAAACCACATCCTAAAAGATAGGTGTGGCATATCATCCAAAAAGGCTCCCAACAAAACAAAACCACAGATGGATTAATGGCATAAAACTGATGATTCTCAAGTTCCCACATCATCAGGCAGATGAATCACGAGTTTTGAACAGTGACCTGGATCTAGGTGTGATTGTTGTTTACTGTTGAATTGTATACCATACTTCATTGATTTGAGGAATGATTCAGAGTCAGACTGAATGGAACAATGAGATATGAGCTCACTGTGTTATGCAACTATAGTTTTATGTCACATGATACTGGTGGTTATTTAGGTCTGGTGGTGATACTCGCTTTGGTTGTATGACATTCAGAGTTACAAATTTATCTTGTGTTGTCGAAATTGGAATACGACATAAAACAATTTTTGTAAATAAACTACAGCCAGCCCGATTTATCGGCAGGCCGATACTATCGGCCGATATTAGGCATTTTCCAAACTATCGATATCGGCAGTTATAATGGCCAATAAATGAATGTTTCAAAAATAAAAGCGGATGAAACACGCTTCAACCATGTCATGAGTGTTGGTGTTGGGAACACTCGTCAATAACTCGCCACACATCCTGCAACCTGCTGATCCAGGTAGCTTATAAGGCAATGTAGGGACAAATTATTATTTTATTTATCAGAAGTTTATTATATTTTGATGTTCCTCTGTTCTGTTGTGACAATAAAAGAAACAAGTTTCTTTTTAAAATGCATTATCATATTATTTTAGTTAAAACTCATAAATAACTACAAGTAACTGCGCGTTTCTGTAAAAAAAAAATAAAAAAATCTGCCGATATATTGGATTTTAAAACCAACAAATATTTGTATCGTTATCGGCCTTCAAAATCCTTTATCGGTCGGGCTCTAAAATAAAGCACCATTTCCATCCCATGTTCAATCGAACAAAATCATCACTTCCTGGGAAATAAAAAAGTTGCTGCATTTGGGGAAGCCACTGTGGCTCTTTGCTCGTACATTATAATAGAGTGTGCAGACGAAGCGCAATAAATGCTGTCGTTATCCTGCATTTGGAGGCGGATGCCTGGTGTTTGGGAAGGCAATCGTGTGAGACAGTTCTGGGAGATAATTATACCCAACATTTTTGATGACAGTTCTTGGCTCAGGCATTGCGGAATGACCAAACTAACATTTTTTGATGTTAGTTAGTCCAGCTATCCAATCACATCTTCTTTTGGTGCAAATTGAGGGATTTATTTGGTAAATGTGTTTTCATTTTAGGTTTTGCATGTCATCTTATTTTAAAAAAAAATCTGCTTCACTTGAGCGCAAATGTTTTTGTTTTATGTGGAATTATTTTAGAATGTATTCTCATCTTGGTGTTGTGTTTCCATCCAGTGTTATTTTTTTTTGCAGTATCCCAAAATGTGCATAAAAATAGGCAGATCATGGAAATATAGCTATTGTATGTTTGTATATGTGCATGTTTTATAGTGTTGTGCAAGAAGATTAAAGTGTCTGTGCAAACAAAAAGGGCTATGCTTCCTTTCCATACTCTTGTGTATGTGAGAGAAAGAGAGCATGTGTGTGACAGAAATTTGTTCTTCCCTACTGTGCAGATTCTTTCAGCAGGTGAACAAATGCATCCACTGAGCGATTGCACCCGCTTTCAACATCTTTTCCCCATATATTTTTTTTTATCTCATTGGCATCTCACTTTCACTATTTTATGTGGTTATATTATTGTTTTTAATTAGGTCTGATAATTGATTATATATTGTAATTGGGTTAATTTACATGAAATGTTGATTAAATAAGCAAATTAATCAGAGCTCATTTTATATATATATATATATATATATATATATCAGTATATGCTAAGAAATATCCCTGAAGGATGATAAAGCATTGCACAAACATTAGAAATAGTAGCTTTATATTGTTTATTTTATACATTGCAGCTAGTCTACAACAGTGTTGTCAAAAATATCAATATATCGATACTCACTGCTCTTGATTTGAATATCTTTTGCAACTTTAATTTTAAGTCTTAATCTGTAATTAATTTTTACAATGAAAACCATCCAGTGTCATTTTACATTTAATTACTTTCATTTCTGTAGTACCTGAACACTACTGATTTCTGATTTGGTCCGTGCACACTGAGTCCAAAATTTTCGCTTGTTAAAATAAATAAATCCTCACATGGGGTCAATCACGTTTACACACTGCCATTAAAAAAAAATTTGATTGGTTTCGATTTTTTGACAATTCAGAGCCACCGAATGACTAATATGGAAAAACGCATATGAAAATTAAGGACTCAGTGTAACACGCAGGTTTAGACCCACCTGAAAAACTTAAAGTCATGTTTATTTTCTTTGTCTCATTATTTTTATTGTATTTATTTGTGCTATTGTTTGTAATTTGTTTATTTGTTCTAATATTATCACCGACTGTTTACTAGTCATCTTTTTGTGATTGAGATAGCCAAAGAGTTTTTGAAAATGAGCTAAATGATCTGTATGGTGGTATATATGCCAGTTATTTTTCAAGGTATCTTATCAGCGTTGGAAATGTCAGTATCGTGACAACAGTACCTCTACATCAATTCGCTTTGCAGTCTGTCCCTCTTGGTATACACAGTTCCAGACATTTGTAATTGTATAATAATGTTGCATGCCTGACACTGGACAGTTACAGAAATGAATCCTCAAGGCCATCAAATGAATGATGTTCCCTTGGGTCATCTTCCTCTCCGCTCGCTGTAAATTGATTTCTTTGGTCTGGTGTCTTGCTCAAGGCCTGCTATTAGTCACAGAGCACATGTCAAGCAAGGACAGTCAGAGGATCTACCCCCCCCCCCCCCCCCCCCTCGTGTCACTTGTTTGCTGCTTAATGTGTTTTTCTATCACTTGTGTTGCTCCTGTTATCACTTTTGGACTGATACACATTCTTAGCAATAAATGTTGCAGGAATATTCTGGAATTAAATTAAGTTGGGCTGTCCCTGTAATACTTTAGTCTTAGTTGCTATTGTATGACTGTGGCAATCCTTCCCTACTTAAAATGTTCTCCTATTTCAGATCAAGAAGACTTCAGAGGCTACTCTTACTACCATCCAGGACATGGTGACCATCGAGGACTATGACGTATCGGAATGTTTCCATCATAGCCGCTCCACTGAATCGGTCAAGTCCACTGTGTCAGAAACCTACCTCAGCAAGCCGAGCATCGCCAAGAGACGTGCCAACCAACAGGAGACGGAGCAGTTCTATTTTATGGTCAATTTATTTTTCATAAAAATTTAACAATAAGTTTAAACAGTCACTATTTTAATGAAATGTTTCATAGGCACGATATCAGTGCATTCGACGATTTTTTAAAATCTTTTTGAAGGAAATCTCATGCTCACCAAGACTGCTTTTATTTAGTCAGAAATACAGTAAAAAAAACGTAGTATTGTCAAATATGCTTTTCAATTATTATTTATGCGCAATTATGAATAATGGTTCTTATAATTATCAATAAAAACAGATATTGCTGCTTAATATTGTGCAAATGAATAAAAAGTTCCGTGAACAGCATTCCTTCGAAATAGAAATATTTTATAACATTATAAATGTTGCTTTTGATGAATTTAATGCGTCCTTGCTGAATAAAAGTATTAAAAGTCCTTGTATTCTTAAAAAAAAAAAAAATTAATTGCTCTAAACTTTTGAATGGTAGTAAACAGCTTAAACTGTTTTCAACATTGATAATACTAAGAAATGTTTCTTTAGCACCAGGTCTGCATATTAGAATGATTTCTGAAGGATCATCTGATGCTGAAGACTAATGTAATTACTGCTGAAAATTCAGGAAGAAATAACTTTTTTCTATTTTAATATATTTTAAAATGTAATTTAAAAAAAAAATTTAAATTGTGATAATATTTCACAATATTATTGTTGTTACTATATTTTGATTAAATAAGCCTTGGTGAGCATAAAAGACTCAAAAAAAAAAAAAAAAAATTTAATTATATTCTTTTGGCCGGTAGTGTATGTATACTATATATACTTAAAAGTGTTTTTTAATTTTAAATGAATGTATTCATGTATTTAAAAAGTTAATGCTGTCTCTGTGCTTAAATTATCCTGCTGTCAAAGGTTTTTGCTCTCATGCTTGTCAATTGTCTCTTCACAGAAGTTCCGTGAGTATCTGGAGGGCAGCAATCTCATCACTAAGCTCCAGGCAAAACATGATCTACTGAAGAGGACCCTTGGTGATGGTATTGTTTGCCTTTCTTTCCTTCTTCCTTTCTTCCAGAATAGGGTCAACACTTTAAACTGAAAGTACACAATTAACGATGAAGTTACTGTTTAACAAAATGTGGATCCTAATCCTCTTAGCCAGTAAAAACCCGCAGGAAGATGCTCAGGACACACCGCTGCTCATGTGGGTGATGCAACCTTATAATAGCCTCGTGTTAATTCATTTTGATGGTATGAAGGATTATAAATCCCTCGTCATGTATAAATCTGCTCATCGTGTTTTGAAGCCCGGGGCACTTCAGTCTTGTGTTGTGAACACTGCAGACTCTGCTGTTAGGTGGCCATTGAGTGAACGCTGTGTGGGTGGGATCAACAAAGCTGTCAGGAACCCAGTTCCCTGGCATAAAATCAACCGTGTCAGTTTTTTAAAGATGTAGGCAGTAGTCTGCCTGCTGCATTTTGGCACTTTTGATGAAATATTTTGTATAGCTAAACAGGTACCTGTAGCGAAAACTTTTCACCTGCTACTGCAGTGGAAATGTAGAATTTCTCTACAAAACGTAACGATGTCCTAAAGGTGCATGTGTACGGATGTCCAGTTCCAGACAGATGGTTGGCTGTATGTGCTTTACTGAGCATAAACAAAAGCCTCCCCAGGGCCTCTGAACTGTATTGTCATACTCTCTCTCTCTCTCTCTCTCTCTCTCTCTCTCTCTCTCTCTCTCTCTCTCTCTCAGGTTACCGGCCTGAATATGCGACTACAAGGTAAAAATTGTTCACAGTTTGTCTCGTTTGTTGTCTTCAGCAACACATTAACACATAATATCAGGTTATGTCAGACTTTCTTCAAACATTCTATCTATCTATCTATCTGTCTGTCTGTCTATCTATCTATCTATCTATCTATCTATCTATCTATCTATCTATCTATCTATCTATCTATCTATCTGTCTGTCTGTCTATCTATCTATCTATCTATCTGTCTGTCTGTCTGTCTGTCTGTCTGTCTGTCTGTCTGCTCATCTATCTGTCTATCTATCTGTCTATCTATCTGTCTGTCTGTCTGTCTGTCTACTCTATCTATCTATATATCTATCCATCCATCCATCTATCTCTCTGTCTGTCATTTATCATTTTCTATCATTTGATCAGTAGCCGCGTTTCCACTGCCAGGCTAGGGCTGGGCCAGAGCTAACAGCGAGCCGAGCCGAGCTTTGGCCTCGGGCCTCAAGCACCGGGCTTGCGTTTCCACTGCCGGGCCAGTAGCCCCACAGCGCTGCCCCAGACCCCACCCCTAACACGCCTTTCTGGATCAAACGTCATAAAACCCAACCCATTTCAGCAGGTATTATGAATTAATTAATTTTTTTAATTAGGAAGATAGAATGTGTATTAACTCACCTGCCGTAGTGGCTGCAATAGTGTCACGAGACCAGTACAGGCGATTCTCCATTTCAAGCAGCGATTTTTTGCGCGATATAACAGGCTGCGGAACCGCCGCAGCCTGTTAACAAACGCCGCCTGTTAACAAATAACAAACGCCGCAACCTCGAGATACAGAGTTATTTTTTTAACACCTTTAATAACTGATTGGACCCCATTTGAAACGAAATTAATTTATAGAAATAAAACGCAGCAAGTACGGAGCAGTTAAAGCCGCATTCACCCTTCAAACTGAAATTGCCAATTGAAAATAAGCAAAACGTCCATTTCACAAAAACTCCGTGTCTGCAAATAATAATAATAATAATAATAACATCATCATCATTATTGTAACATTTTATTAGGCTGCATATGTAGAAGACGCCTTTATCCAAAAAAGGAACAGAGCACAAATAAACACAATATTTTTGACGCATATCAGCGCATATCCAGTGTGTGTGGAGCACGCACTGATGGCTGCGAGACGCCCATGTGAGCACTTGCAGTTTCATTGCATTTCTTTCAGTGGAAACAACTTAAAATACTCTTTCATTTCTGGTCATACAGAAAATAATAATACATTATTCGCAAATACATTTATTTGCGTAAACTCACAATAACAAGAAAACGTTGTGCTTTAACAATTAATCAAGGCGCGCTTCATGATCTCCGTGAACTGAAGCGCGAGACCTGAAACAGCCACCGCATTCGAATTTGTTCGTTTTAAATTGGACATTTAAAGCTTTAGTCTTGTAGATTAAAGCTTTAAATGTCCAATTTAAAACGAACAAATTCGAATCGAAAGCCAATATCTTTCTGACTATGTAATTATGTAGCTAATTAATTTCTCTCTGTGCATCCGGAGATGCAGATGTTTTTAGCCGAAAATCATTTAGAAAACAATAGTTTATTAATAAACAATTAATGCCTCGTTATTTTATATTATTTTATTAGCAGACACATTTATTATAGCCTATAAATCACCTATAATCCCCTTTCTGTAGGCTGTGGTTACGGCTCTTCTCATTCAGCACTGCAGGGAAAATATCATTTCCAGGTTCTAATTTGGCCTCAGAAAACCAGTAAAATATATATTTTTTTCATATTCATTTGTCAAATATTTTAAATGTTTAAGGGGCAAAAAATCAAACAAATATCTGAAAATTCGTCGATATGTAGCCTATATATAGCCTATATATTTTTGCGCAGGATTTGGCATAGGCCTACAGTTCAAATTAAAATGTTATGCAATTTTAAACGGTTAATCGGTTAAACATGGACATCCCTATGTGCATCTTGCTTCAGATCATAACGTTCCATAACACCGATAAACTCCGCCTTTTACCTTGAGCACGCCTCTAGCCCGAGCTGGCCCCCTCTGGCCCAAGGTATTCGACGGGCCAGAAATCCTGGCCGTTGGCCCTGAGGAAGCCCCGATCAAGCCCCGGAAGTGACAGTGGAAACGCGACTGGCCCTGGCACGCACTAGCACGGCCCGGCCCTGGCCCGGCAGTGGAAACGCGGCTATTGTCAATATTTCCATCATTTGTTCTACTCTATCTTTCTTTCATTTTATCTGTCATTCTATTTCTTTGTCTGTCTGTCGATCATTATGTCTGTTGTTATATATTTTCATTATTTCTAACAGTTGTTCTATTTGTCATTCTTTTTGTCGTGCTATCCATTGTTCTATCATTCTATCTGTAGGTCTATCTATCTCTCTTTTTCTTTCATCTGTCATTCTATCAGTTGTTCTGTCATTCTATGTATCTATCATTCAATCCATCCTTCTATCCATCATTCGTTCTGTCGGTCTATCTGTCGTTCCATGTATCTTTTTTTCTATCCATCCATCCATCTATTTATTGTTTGTTCTATCGACCTATCCATCATTCTATCAATTTGTCATTTTGTCAATCGTTCTATTTTTCTATTTATCAATCTGTTGTTCTGTCTATCTAAAAGCACTTGTGAGAAAGTAAACCTTAAAGAGAAAAGGGTACATACAGTACACAGATAAGATCCGAACAGTAGACCAGATGCTTGTTTGTTCTCTGCCATAATTCACCATATGTTCATGCAGCAATCTTCCCCTGGGGTTCCTCCCCACAATGCTTTGCAATAATAGTGCTCTTTAGAATCAGAAATCCTAAAGTTTGAAAGCACATCAAAAGCTCTCTTATTGATTAAAAGACAAGGGTGAAGAGTGAACTGAATTTGCGAACTTGCATGTTTCCTTTTTTTTATTTTCGTTCAGTTTTAAGCTGTTGTTGCACATGTCAGTTATAGATCATGGCATCAATTCTAATAATAAAACTAGCACTGCATTATGGTATTGAAATGAACTCAGATTTTTAGTTAAAGGTATAACCCGATGTGATCCCACCAGCTCCCCAAGCCGAGCCAAAAGGTTTCGTGCTTGGACATCTCTCGCACTCCCACCTCCTGCTGTTCCCTGCAGACCTGCCATTTCCATGACCTTTGATGTGGGGTGGAAGTGAAGTTTATGAACAGGATATTGTCATGTGCAGATCACTGAGCTAGACACAATGGGATCTTACCCCTAAATAACCTGAAATCCACCACAAAGCTGTTCCATAAACTATGTGTGAGATATGAACTCATTAGTGCAAGATTAAAAGTGTAAACATCTCTTTATAGGCCTCCCAGTCTTCCTCCTAAACCGTTTGGCACACAGAGGCCCAGGCCACGCTCTGTATTTAACGTTAAGCTGTTTAATGGCAATTTGGAGTCATTTGTTAAGGTACTTTTGGGTACTGTACTACCTGCACTGAATACCGCTGCTTGAAGCCATAATGATCCACGGCTACTTGCTTCTACTTGACTGATTATTATGGCTGGGGAAGGTATTTAAACAGAGCAGAAACAGGGGTATGTGTGGGTGTGTGTACACGAGATGACTGAGATAAAGTGAGCTTCAGGCATCAACATTCACCCAGTTGCTTCAGGGCAGCATGAAAGCCTCTTAAAGGGATAGTTCACCTAAAAAAAAGGGAGGGAGGGGGATTCCCTGTCTTGTGCCATTCCGAACCAAAGTTTTTCTCTTCTGTGGAAGACAAAAGAATATTCTGAAATGTTCTATAATGATCTTTTTCCATGCAGGGAAAGTGAATACTAAATATATATATGTTGTTAAAAGATGCAAAGTGCATTAAAAATGGTCATTAGGCGTTATATTCTAAGACTTTTGAAGCCATATGTTGTGTCCCAAATGATGCACTATGTACGTAAATGTAATCAAATGCACTATTTCTTTTGCGAATTTTCAGTGTAAACCCACTACTCACACTGTTTATACTACAAAAAAGCATATTTCATAAGTACATGGATTGGGACTGCATCTGACTATTCACTTTTGAGTGACCTTCATTTGTTTATTTTCTTGTGTTCCATGAAAAAGGAAAGTCAAAAAGTTTTGGAATGACATAAGGGAGAGTAAATTATGACTAGTAAAAAATTTCGGGGTAAAAACTTGATGAGGAAAGTTATTTGACAGTAGGATTCAATGTTGTGTCAGCACATCCCCTCTTTCTCTCTGTGAGGCTGGAGCTAATGGTGTAATTGGAAGACTAATAATGATTTTTGTAGGCTGTTATTGGTGGCTTGTAGTGCTGGGACCAAATAACCTGGGGATCGCCTCTTTCTCTGTTTTCTCTGCTCTCTCACTCTCTGGCTCTCTGTCCTGTCGTTCTGCTGTCCTTCTCTAATAGTCGTGGACGACGGAACTCACACACAAGGCACCAGGTACAGAAACAGTCGGCTTGTCCTGATTAGCTCATTGCTTCATGTCTATCTAAGCTTCCAGTAGTTCAACTTCCAGTCACCTCTGCTTAATCCTAAGGAGCTGTGAACCATATACATTGGTGTCTGAATTTCCGAGACTACACTGTTTCTGGGATTTCTATTTATAACGGAAAACAAGAAAACTAAGAACTTATCCATTGAAATGAATAGGAATATTTGTCTATGAATTTCATTTTTTTTTTATTATTATTAAACTTTTCAGTCAAATGGTTATTTTGATAATATAATTTGTAAGGGCAACTTTTGTATTAAATTATCAATATGCATAATTGAAGCCTTTTTAGTTGTGGTCTCGGACATTTGGACCCCAAAGTAAATGTGTCCATGTGCTTGACGAGTTCATCCTTCTTGGCTTCAGTGACCGTAATGCACACAATTATGAGAAATATCCCACAATTTTAAAGCTTTTCACCAAAATAAATAATAATTCAGTTCTTTACTCTGACTAAAAATAATTTCTAGTATTAAGAAAATAATATTATAATTATAATGCTTACAAGACTTTTAATTACTGCACAACGTTTTTTATATCCCATCATTATTTGAATTATTCTTTTTTCTTTGTTATTCTTTTTTTTAAATTATTATTATGAAGTAAAAGTGTTGCACAGCAAAGTGCAGTTTCCAGCATTCTTAACTTTACCACCTCGGTTTCAATTATGATTTATGGTTTGTTGCAGATGTACAGTATCAATATTTAAACATGTTCACAGCAGCACTTTTTGTTTTCACCTTATTGCAAAGATCATAGCTGGGAAATGTAGCCTGTGAGGTCTGTCTCAGTTCCTGGCACTGGCACAGTGTTTGGACTTGGCAAATATTCCCTGGGTTAAAAGCAGATAACAGCATTTTTAAAAGCTTGTAAGAGTGTAGACGAACACTGAACAAACAGCTCTAACCCCACACAACAACAAGCAGCCCGCACAGGCGGACACTAGAATCACAGAGCTGGATTCACTAAACCATTTCGAGTTTTCCACTGGTGGCATTTGCTCCATTCATGTAAAAAAAAAAAAAAAAAAAACATGTTAGCATGTAGATCTAAGTTGTCGTTTTGTTTCCTGTCTTGGGTGGGTTAAAGCCTGAAATCTTAGTTGTGCTCTTTAAAAAGAGTCAGTAGGAGCCAAGAAGGATTATCTTATCTCTGAAATGAATGATACATGGTGTGTGGTATATTTTCAGTTGATTTAGAGCTAGATTGATTGCTTAGCCCATTTCCTGAGCTAATGCCCATGTTTTTCTTGTTTTAAGGACTCTGGACAAGCAATACCTCGAGTTGTTGAAAGCTCTATTCGATTCATCAACCTATATGGTAAGTTATATTGCAAATGTCTTGCAACTCAAACCATACAATACACATAATTCCTTAGAATGGCCCACCATTGTCAGTGCAACAGAAAAGCCCAAAGAATTTGTTCATCAGTTATGCTAATATGCTAATTGCTACCTGCTATCTGTTTTGTCATTGTTTATTTGAAATTTGGGACTGATTCAATAAGTTTTAGAGTCTGGGTTGTTCCAAATCTGTCCTATTCCATTGTAGTCCATGCACAAACTTGTTTTGTATCTATTGTAAGTTTACTGTTGTGCTTTTCTGTTAATGTCAGAGGACGTTCAGTCCAAAGAGGTCTTTATCATATTGCTTGTATTAACTGTGCGAACACAGTCATATATCTTGTGCTTCTATTGAAAGTGCTGAATGCTGTCTGTGTGTGGCCCTCTAACTGGAACTATAGAGACATTTTTAATTAATCTTTTCTGACCCTCATCCAAGCTTTCCATTTAAAGCTAATCCGGACTGACGGATGTTTTTTGTAGAAGTTGATTGCAGTCTCTCTCCTTCATTCATTATCTTTAATTAGAAAAAGGGAACTTTTCTAAAGCACAGGGCTTAGCTTTTGAGGTTGGGATTTGACCGTGGTTACTATGGACCAGCTTCTGCAGTTTTTTTGGAAATAAGCTCATTTTACAACTCCCTCAGAGTTAAACAGTCGACTTTTACCGTTTTCGAATCCATTCAGTCGATTTTCTGATATTTAGAAGAATATCAGTAACCAGACAGTTTCTGGTCCCATTGACTTCCATAGTAGGAAAAATATATATACTATGGTAGTCAATGAGACCAGAAACTGTCTGGTTACTGATACTCTTTTAAATATCAGAAAATTGGCTGAATGAATTCAAAAACGGTAAAACTCAACTGTTTAACTCTGAGGGAGTTGTAAAATGAGCATATTTCCCCCGAAAAAGTGGAGTATCCCTTTAAATGAACATGAGAAAGACATATTATTCAAACACTTATTTCAGTTCCTCTCTTTATTTTTTTAGGCCTCCAACATCAAGGAATATTCCGAGTGTCTGGATCTCAAGTTGAAGTCAATGATATCAAGAACTCGTTTGAGAGAGGTGTGTGTGTGTGTGGTAACAGAGTTCAGGTTTCTAAATAGCTCTGAAAGTGCCGTCACTGCTGAATAATAATGAATCTCTTATGTCTTCATTGGTCATGTGAGCTCTGAAGAAAATTCATATGATTTAAGGGCCTTGACTTTAGTGTTTTGGCAAAACATCTACCGGGGAAAACATATTCTAGATATTTATCTTGTTATTTATATAGATCCATTTAAATATTTCTTGCCTTTTTTTAGCAAATGCTGTTATTTTGTTTACCAGTATTAAAAATGTGTTTTAGATGTAGACAGCAGATTTGATGCATAATATGTCTTTTAGGTAACGATCCTTTGACAGACGAAGAGAACAACCACGATATAAACTCTGTTGCGGGTGTTTTGAAACTCTACTTTCGAGGTTTGGAGAACCCCCTGTTTCCAAAGGAACGATTCAATGATCTCATCTCCTGTGTCAGTAAGTGGCTCATTTATTTATTTATTTATTTTTTGCTTTCTATTGACCTGCAGCTGTAAATCTGTCATTGATTCTCAGTGTGAATTAACAGTGCTTTGAACTGTTATTGTGTACACTCAGATGAAGAGATCTTAGTCATTTGTTCCCAACAGTGGCACAGTGACTTTATTCATTATATGATAAGATGTCCTGCGCCTCAGGCTAATGCTAACAGCCTTACGTACCCTCCATTACAGCGCAGTGTGTGTTCCACCACGGCATGACACATTAGAGCTTCAGTTGGTCCTTCAACCGGCATGAATGCAACGTTGTGTGTCTTTGAAAGAGCTCAGAATGTGTGCTTTATCATCATCACAGATGACGCTAGATTGCACTGAATGAATGTAGAATGACACCGTGATGCCCAATCCTTTCATTTGGGTTAATGGGATGTTTGTTATCCACAGCTCGAATCAATTATGAGTGGGGTAAGCTGTGCCACTTTTGATACTATGTCGTCCTCTTATCAAAGAAAAATATATGGGCGATGTGGTTTTGAAATAAAAATATAAGCTACGAATTGATTTTTGTATTTAAATTATTGAATTAAAATATATTTTAAACCAGATCAGTGTGATTTCCATTAAAAATACTTTCAAAACCATTTTGTATTGAGTTAATTACACTGGCACAGTTTACCCTGAAGCATCTGCAGACTTTATCCCACAGATACCAATTTTTGGAAAACTCAAGTTAATAATTCATCGATTAATATTTAGCGAAATAATTCAAATGGTTTTATGCTATTATTCCTTGAATACATAAACATTTTTAAACCTGGATAAATTCACCTTGACATTTCCCTGCCATGTAGAAATATTATTTTGACATGCAAAACAGTTTTAGCATTAAAGTTTATGCTTATACATTTTTAAATATTTGTTCTCGTATCAAAATTTGTGAAATGCTATAATAAGGTACTGTGAGTTTGCATGTGTGGGTGGGTTTTTGTTTGTCTGCACGTGTGGAGGAATGTCAAGATGTGTGTTCGTACATAGTCGACCAACGAGCGGTCTTGTGCCTGTGACACTCCGTAGTGTGACTAATGGGGATTCCCTGCTGTTTACATTTACACACGACTTACCCCTTCCCAGCATACCACACAAACCCTCGAACACACATGGCCTCTCCTGTTCTCTGTCCCTGGCAGATCTATATATAGACTTTTAGAGTTGTTCGTTCACTGCACTGTTGGAGATCAGTTCATGTTGTGTAGCTGGAGACACGTGCCTTGTCTGTGGTGAGGCTTGACAGTTCTTTAAATTGCTTTTTTTGCTCAGGATCCACTTGGAAACTCTGTTTCGTCCTCAAGTACGACAGATAACACGAGTAGCATATTCCCAAAAGCCCAGGGGCCTCATGTATCAACACTGCGTACGTACAAAAACACGGCGTACGCCAGCTTTCACGTTCACGGCCAGATGTACTAACAGTGAAATTAACGGAAGAATGTGCGTTCCTCCAAGTAAACTTCATGTCTGGCGTACGTAAATTTGCCTTGATTTGTCCGTTGGCGACTCCTAGAGGCAATAAGGTGAAGTGGCAAACATTACTCTACGAATTGTTCTATCGCACCACCAGCTGTCAGATATTGCTTAATGATATGTCAAATAATGTATCAATTACAAATTATGTCACACGAGTCTTATTAAAATATTCTATTATGCAATAAAGTAAGAACATAAAGCATGTGCAAACCCGTCTAGCAATGGCAGCGTTGGCTTTACTATAGGAAATAAAAAATAAACTTCATTATTTCGGTCAGTAAAGGTAAAAAAAAAAAAAAAGTAATATTTTTATTCAGCCAGGACATATTGAATTTGTTTAAAAGTGCCCGTACATGCATTTATAATGTTAAAAACGATTATAAGATTTCTATATGTGTTTGATTTAAGTTTTTATTCATTAAAGAATCCTGAAAATACTATATCACGGTTTCAATGAAAATATGAAGCAGAAGCACAGCTGTTTTTAACACTGATAATAATCATAAATGTTTCTTGATCATCAAATCATCATATTAGAGTGATTTCCGAAGGATCACGTGACACTGAAGACGAGTAATGATGCTGAAAATTCAGCTTTGATCACAGGAATAAATTACACTTTCACATATATTCACATAGAAAACATTTTCAGTGGAATTTCATTTCTTGCAGGTTTCTTTAGCCATTTCCTTGCAGGTTTCTTTTGCCAAATTGGACTATTACCATTTTTAAATTAATTTAATTGAGGGAGGAGACTGGGTGGGGCGTTGTGCTCGTGCATGTGCGCTCAATTTTACGTTAATTGGGATGTACAAAGAGAATATGCGTGGGATCCTTCGTACGCAGACATTCATACATCTGTTTTTTTTTTGTGCGTACGCACATTTACAGCTTTGATCGTACGCTATGTTTTAGTATGAATTCAACGCAAGTCTTTGTACATGAGGCCCCAGGTCTTTTTCCCTAATGGTGACGTGGTTATTTTAAGCTGCTGTGAGAGGATGAATCGGGGATCTGTGTGTGCTAGCAATGGATGAGAGAAATGGTTGAGAGCAGATCACATCAGTTTTTAAATATGTTCCACAGAGGCCGGTTTTGCTTTAACCTCTTAACGCCCACTGTCACAAATATGCTACAAACCGTTTGACTCAGTCAACCATCCGAGATAACGTCTGCATTCCCCCAATGCGGGTTAGTGCATATTCGCTACTGACCTAGGACCTTCGACAAGCACTTGTTTCTAGTGGGGCCGCAAAGTGACGGACTTATTTCCTGTTTACGCACAAGGATTACTCCGGTCAGGAACATTTGCAACATACCAAATTGACCATTATGCCTGCTGTTGCAGAGTTGCAACATACCAAATTGACCCCAAATTGACCATAATGCCCGCTGTTGCAGATTTGCAACATCCCAAATTGGTCATTATGCCCACTGTTGCAGATTTGCAACATACCAAAATTTCGATTTATTTGTTGTGCAAAAGTGAAATTGATAATCTCAACATTATTTACCATCTACTTAAAGGCAAAAACACACATAAAACATTTTTTATATACAGCTATATAAATTCAGGCGTTAAGGGGTTAATAAGTGCCGCTTATGTGTCTCACAAGCCACCACATGGGATCGAATGAGGTCAAGATGTAGTTGTTGATCTGAGGCTATGTTTGGAATGAGCTTGTGGCATTTGGCATACACTGCATATTTTTTTAAATAGTATTTGCAACAGTAAGCAAACTTTTCAAATAGTTGTATGCTAAATTAATTGTCAAGTAATTGTTTAAATTGAGTCACATCTAGTGTCTACTTTAAAAAAAATAAAAAAATTTGGTCACTTTAGGTATAGGGTCCAATTCTCACTATTAACTACCTGCTTATTAAAGGTCTTCTGACATGAAATCTTCACTTTCTGAGTTTTTTTAATATTAATATGAGTTACTCTAGTCTGTATATGGTCCCCCGGTGGCTAGAAATTTCAATTGGTGTAGCTTTAACTATCGAGCTTTTGCCAAACCGAGCTTTGGCTATCTTTCTCTGCCTTTGAGAAAAGGAAAGCTCAGACGTACTTATCTTGAATCTCCTCCGTATGACGTCATATGGAGGAAAGGTAACCTCCCCTTTCTCTGCTTTGCCCGCCCAGAGAATTCGGCTCGCCCATGAGAAAATGAGCTATGTATATGAGCTATGAGCTAAAATAGTATGTAGTTTGAAAAATGTAGTTTGTAGTTTTGGTAAAAAAAAAAAAAAAAAAAGTAGAGTAGGAGTACTAGTATGAGATTTCAAACAGCCTGAGAGCGCATTATTAAGGAGACGGCAAAGATGCTTCCAGGAGGGACAGGAAGTGAGCTATAAAGACTCTTATAAAGGGGAAAAAAAACAGTTGCTGCAGGAATACTCACACGTTTCTGTGATGCCAGTCTTCTGGATTAATCTTTAAGCTCCTTAAAATGAAGAGTTAAATAGTTTTGAAACTTTACCTCCTATAATTCTCTATTAATCAGCTTTTTTTAGTTGCAGGGTGAGGGCGGGCAACAATTTAGTTTAAATAAATCACCTCATTTAGTTTAATATTCGCTCTCCTTTGACAGAGCACTAATTTCCTCTGCATTGTCTTTGTGTGACAAACACTACCTGTATCTACATTTACATTTATTCATTTAGCTGACACTTTTATCCAAAGCGACTTACAATTGCTATATATGTCAGAGGTCGCACACCTCTGGAGCAACTAGGGGTTAAGTGTCTTACTCAGGGACACATTTGTGTCTCACAAGCCCCTTTTCCACCAAAGCATTTTGAGAGCCGGTTCGGAGCCGTTGCCTGCGCGCGAACCAGTTCTTTGTGTTTCGACAGCCAAAGAACCAGTTGTCGACCAGGAGAACTGGTTCCAAAGTGGCACCAACTCTTTGCTGGACTAGAACCGTTCTTTTACCACGTTATGCTTACGTCGGGGGCTGGGGCGGGTTTAGATGTGTTCTAAACATCTTTTCTGAGCATAATAAAGGATCGCAAAGCCAAGAGAAACATTTGCAGAAACACAATGGAGTCTGCCTTTGTAATTGTTATGCTTGAAGTTAACGCAGGCGTTTCTATTTTTGTATTTTTTTTTTATTGAAGACATTATAAGCAAAGAAGAAAACAGTCACAATATAGAATAAATAAATGGAAAGAAAAAAAGACACAAGACAGGGGTACATAACTTATCAGAAAAGATTACAAATCAAACGAAAAGATTGAAAGACTTACATATTTCAGTTGTTTTTAAAGCTTCCTTGGTACACGAGTTAGAGATAATCCCAAAGTAATGTTGTACTTGCAAGCGTTTATAGCTAAGACGTATGGCAACGTACACAGTGACGTAACGACGTCGTTCCCTGGGTCAGTGGAAAAACAAATACGTTCTGAAGCGGTTCGCAAGTTGAACCAACTCCGAACCAACTTTGAACCAGCACCAGTTCCGAACCAGTTCTTTTTTTGGTGGAAAAGGGGTAACAACAGTGGATTCGAACCTATGTCTCTCACACCAAAGGCATGTGTCTTATTCCACTGTGCCATCACCTATCTGTCATGTCCATGTCCAATTAGCAAAATATATTTTTAATATTTTGTAAATGATTTTGAAAAGTCATTTCTTTTGCAGTGATAAGATTAGGCAGTTTAACTTTATGCGAATGAACACTGTTTAATGTTTTTTTTCCGCCACACATAATGCGCTCAGCCTTGTAACTCTATGAATAGAACTGCAATGATGTGGTTATCTGTGAATTAGCATGTTCAGATGGAAGCATGTCATTAGGTACTCAAGGCTACTAAGTGGCATGGATGACCAAGGCGACCCTGAATAATCATTTCTGAATGTCATGGCAGGACAATCATTTGTTCAGGACTCCTCCATTGTTGAATGCAGTCTTTGCGATCTATGCAGGTTTCATGTGTCATGTTCAACCTAATGAGGTGTGTAATAATTTATGTATGTTTAGAGAGAGAGAGAGACTATTGGTGAGTGGTGGGATGAGGTGATGTTGTTTTGAATTATTTATTAATAACTGTCTAGGCAATTGCTTCTAGATTTGTGAAGGAAGTGTTAGTACGTGTATACTGAAAGTTTATGCGTTTTAGTAGTTTTTAAAATGTCTCTTTCTGAATTCTGATACTTTATGTCAGATTTGATTTTCTTTTAAACATTATATACAACTAGATAATTGTGTTGCTCTTTGATTTTTGCTTGATTTCTTGATTTTTAACTCTTATTCTCTCTCTTTCTATTGTAGGAATTGAGAATCTATATGAGAGAGCGCTGTATATTCGAAAGATCCTTCTGACTTCACCCAGATCAGTTCTCGTTGTCATGCGATATCTATTCGCCTTCCTCAACCAGTAAGTCTGAATGTCTCACAAACACACTGAAAGTTTTAAACATGCAAATAACATGCGTCTTAAATAAGTATTGATGATTTAATGCTTAACTTGATTGTGAATGAATATCACTTTTTGATCCATATCATAGAAATTCACAGACCAGACTCGAACTTGACTGTCTGATTAAGAGCCAAATCAGAACCATCTTGTTTTTTTTTTGTTTTTTTGCTGGTTGCCTAATAGCTTGTTCATATTTCCTGCAGCTTGTCCCAGTACAGTGATGAAAACATGATGGACCCCTATAATCTGGCCATCTGCTTTGGCCCCACCCTCATGCCCACTCCAGAAACTCAGGACCAGGTCTCCTGCCAGGCCCATGTCAATGAGGTCATCAAAACCATCATCATCCACCACGAGACCATCTTTCCTGATTCAAAGGAGCTTGACGGCCCCCTGTATGAGAAGTGTATGGCAGGCGGAGATTATTGGTGAGTGGTCCGATAAGACGGTGATGCTGTTTTCAATCATTTATTGATGACTGTCTGAGTAACTGCATCTAGGTAGTTGTTTGTAAAATAGACGTTCAAGCGTTGCTCAACCTAAAAGATGAGAATCTTGTTAAAGTCAGTATTTGGGCTTGTGTTTGAACTATATTATTTTTTGGACTATATTAGTGGTGGTATCCGGACATACAGTATATGGTGTGACTGAAGTGAAAAATTTTGTTTTAATAATAATAAAAAAACATTATTCAGTGCTAGTGAGTCACTTATTTTGTTAGGACAGTTTTAGGGTGTGACCGCTTTGTTTTGAAGAGGAAAGGAGGATAAATCCTTACAAAAGATTTGGAAGAAGGTCATACAGGTTTGGAATGACTTGAGGGAGAATTTCAATCAATTTCCGGAGGTGAATTATCCCTTTAAAGAAATGTTTTTGTTGTTTTCAGTGTGGATTATGTGTGACGGTTATTTTCTTTCAAATTGTGAATTGCAGAAATTTGTGTTATAAAATGGCCTCGTATTTCTCATTCTTTCTCTGTGAGGATGTTCCAGGCCCTAGGCCAAAAGTTTGTTTTGAAAATGCACTTAATATCACAGGTATGTGTGCCTGGATCTAGAGAGTGACGGGACCAGCTGCATTTAAGCTGTGTTTGGATTCGGTGTGGGTAATTATTTGAAATGATGTCGTGCAGATATTGTGAACTCTTTAGTCGAGGTAGGACATTTTTTAGAGGCCGAAGGCTTTGTAGACCTTTAACTAGATGAGACGGAATGAAACCATCTTGATAACTGCAGCCATCAAGGTAAGAAAAGATTGCTGGCCAAACCAACGCTGATTTCTCTCTGAAATACCAATGGATGAGAAGAGGAAAGAGACATTTTCCGCCAACTCCACAGCTGTGTGTATGTGTTGGCTAGTGATTTTGTTGTCTCAAAGAGAGCGGCCCAACTCCCACAAGTCTCCATCCCCCAAACTGAAGCCAAACACCTGCCACTGCAAGAATCTGTACTTGAGCACTTCGAATCATTACATCCTTAAACACGCTGAAGCCGGTTCTCGTATTTTCCCCTTTGGTAGTGTGGCACGTGGGAGTGGCAGAGCTCTGTTTGAAATGACTTTACTGTGTGTCAGAGGTAATCTGCAAGGATGTGAAGGGCATTACTGCCTGTCTCGGTAACCGTGCTGTGCCACTGACAGAATCCCAATCACCCTGGCCAACTCCTCCTGAATACTAATGACAGAGTATGTACTTTTTGCTCGATGCTGACTTTTACTCTGGCTGTGACTTAACTCTTTGTCTCCCTGTGCATGCATTTAGTTATGTAAGGAACTACCTTTCAAAGGTTTGGGGTCGCTAAGATTTTTTACAATGTTTTTGAACTTTCTTATGCTTTTATTAAATCAAATCAAATTAAGTCTGCATTTATTACATCAAAAATACAATTAAAACATTAATATTGTGATATATTATTACTATGTAACATAACTATTTTCTAATATGTAATTTATTCCTGTGATGGCAAAGCTGAATCTGTCGCATGATCCTTCAGAAATCATTCCAATAAGCTGATTTGCTTATTTATTATTTATCAATGTTGAAAACACTAAGAAATGTTACTACATCATTTTCAAAACTATATATGTATAGTGCATTCAAATAGTTTACTGCACAGCTAGCTGTGGATTATCCCACCCATTTGTCACCAGTGACAATTTAAAGCTGTCATTGAAGTTTGCAGTGCAATATTTGACAGGAACGGTAATAATTACGGTTATTTATTTTAGTAAGTTACTGCTTGTCAGATCTAGCATTCTGGCTGCTTTGAATCAGACACAGATCAAGTTTTGTGATAAGATTACGTTTATTTGATTTGAATGAATTATCGAGAGAGAGAGGGAAGGAGGGAGGGAGAGAGAGAGAGAGAGGAATGTGGCAATAAAACTGTTTAATGCACTTAAAAAACAACGATTTTACCCTCTTGTTGCTGAGAAATGTAACAATTCAGCAGATATTATTTTATTAATAATGCTCCTGAAATGTTCTTTGTGTGCGAGTGGTGTGTGCCTCAGTGAAAGAAGCACATTAATATAGAACAGTGATTAAACTGACTGGAACTACCTGTGCATTAAACGATTTTAATGCGTTCCTTCCAGCCAATCAGAATTAAGTATTCAGACAGACCAGGGTATTTTTTATTTTATTTTTTTAAATGTATACAGACCATACAATGTATGTGTCCACAAAATTAGATCAAAAGCTCATGAGAAACACACTTGGCTGACTTTTACAAAAATCCTGTCCTTAAAGGAGCTGTATGCAAGAAATGTATTTCAATTAATCATACATTTTCCTTGATATGTCACTAGACATTAAGAAATCATGTTCATTTCAAATACTTATATCACTGATAACAGTAGTCCAGCCAGGATATTGTCATTTAAAAAGTGAAGCTGCAGCCCTCAACTGATATTGATGTTGTCATGTTGTGTTTTGGTCTAATGCGCCACCCTCCACCGATCTAACAATCATGGAGTCAGTAGTGTTGCAGCATTCGGGTTGCCAGCTCTTGTCTAGTTACCACATTTGCAGATACAAATGTGTTGGAATCAGATTTTTTTTTTAAATGTCTAACGTTGCGAAACCAAAAGAAAAAACTCGATATGAATCCGAAATACTTCATGACAAAGGGGGAATACACCATTCTACAGTAATTTGAAAGTGATTGCAGTACCAGTTTTGGCCATAATCTTGCATACTGCTCCTTTAAAGGGTTAGTTCACCCAAAAATGAAAATTAAGTCATTAATTACTCACCCCGATGCTGTTCCAACCCCTAAGACTTTCGTTCATCTTCGGAACACAAATAAAGATATTTTTGATTGAATCTGAGAGCTAGATCAGTCCTACATAGACTGCCTAAGGGACTGGCTCTTGACGGCCCATAAAGTCATTAAAGAAAAGGTTTAAATATTCCATGTGCCTACAGCGGCTCAATTATAAGTTTATCAAGCGACGCGACTACTTTTTGTGCGAAAAAAACATAAATAACGACTTTATTCCACTATTCCATTACTTCCTTATGGGCGCATGCGCGAGAACTGAGACGAGGACGTTCTCATTCGTCTACTTCTTGTTACCAGCTGCTCACCGCTTAGGAGTTTTACCGCCACCTTTACCGACTTAATTTTCATTTTTGGGTGAACTAACCCTTTAAATATTGAGTTTACAGATGCTGTAAATGCCACAATCTATTAAGCATTTATATATAATTTTCATATAACCTATATTTAATTATTATAATTAATTTTTATAATTAATATTTCCTCTTTTTTCTGCAGTGAGAGTCCATACAGTGAACATGGAGCCCTTGAAGAGGTTGATCATGATGGAGGAATTGAGACCCACACCAGTGAGGATGGTATGTTTATTTTGTTTTCCACACCCTGTAGTGGTATGTACAGCAGTAGCATAGCCACAAGGAGACCTTCAAATTAAAAAAAAGTTAAATGAGGAGTATATTACTACTGTCACATGCGTGACTTGAATTAAAATTAAATCGTATGTGCAAGTAAAAACATGACCTGTGTTGCATGACTTATGTATATCTAGTGGTTCCATACTTGTCATTATTCCCATTGTCTCAGAATGGCTTTAGCCAATCTCCATCAAGCCTCTGGATTGATTTTACTTCACATGACATTTTCTGACATGGCCTGTCAAGGGTTAATCCCTGTGTGCACTGACCTCTGGGTAATCACTTTTCACAGCTCTAAATGAACTGATTAGAGAGTGGAGAACGTCCAACTATTTGGTCCTTCTTTTTGTTTCCTAATCCTTTGGAAAGGGAGAAGCATCCGTAAACAAAGAAGGGGGTTTTAATCAAGCTTGGTAAATGCTTTCCAATACTACAGGGCACAATAGATCAGTCTGTCCCAACTGTAAGGCTACTTTCATTAAAAAAAAAACATGCATAGTCCTTACCACCAGTCTGGCTCAAACTTGAGTTCTGTATGTAGTTGCATGTAGTTTTATTATAGAAAAAGTTCCCAAAGCTCAACTGATACCAGATGTTTGGCCCATTGATGACACATGATCAATTCCCCTATGTAATATGAGAAACAAGTTTCAGACTGCGAAAACTCAAATCAAGTGGTTTGTTTTCGTCTTCTGTCCAGTAATTCAAAAGAACCGAAAGAAAAAAGTTGCTGCTGACCTGTGTGTTACCTCACTGAAAATAGACACATTTCCTGTCTCTCTCTGTCTGTACCTGAACAATGCTTGTTTTCTTGTGCGCTCTTTGATAAGAGAAGTAGGATGTCTGCTTTTTCCATATAAATGATTTCTAGGACAGACAAAAGCCACGTTTATCGTATTGTTTAGCATCTAAGGGTCTTAAGCAGAGTGTCAGATAAATGGTAGTACTGTACCATAACACCGAATACACATTCATTTTGTGAGATGTTTGCTTTGAAGTCTACCTTTTATTTTTGGATCATAAAAACAAATGTGAGTAAACTCTCCCTGTATGTACTCAAATGGGATTTAATTATTTGGATAAGGCAAGCGTATTATTGTATTATTCTTAAAATTAGGGATTTAAACAAACCCCTAACCATAAATATTAAATTTTAAACTAAGGCTATGTTCAGACTGCAGGTAAATGTGGCCCAATTCTGATTTTGTAGCTCATGTGACTGAGATATTTTTTGTCATGACAGTGTGAACAGCACAAACCACATGGAATCAAATCTTTTCAATTCTGATTTGTGCCACTTCCATATGTGGTTCTAAATCTGATACAGGTCAGATGTTTTGCAATACGACTTCAGTCTGATCAGTCATATCGGAATTCATAAAACTTGTACATCACTCTAAAGCATAATTCGTCACAATTCTTATCTAGAGTTACATAGACCATCGCCAAATGTGTCAGTGGAAAGACAGTTATGGGTTAGAAGTAGGGCTGTCAAATGATTAATCGCGATTAATCGCATCCAAAATAAAAGTTTGTGTTTACATAATATATGTGGGTGCACTGTGTATAATTATTTTGTGTATATATATATTGTTATGTAATTATTTTGTATGTGTATATATATATATATATATATATATATATACACATGCATGTATATTTAAGAAAAAAATATTATTTATATATAAAATATGTATATTTATATATAATACAAATCTATATAAAGTATATAAAAGAAAATATTTCTTAAATACATACAAGCATGTATATGTATATATATATATATATATATATATAATAATTATACACAGTTCACCCACATATATTATGTAAACACAAACTTTTATTTTGGATGCGATTAATCATTTGATAGCCTTAGTTAGAAGTATTACATTTGACAAATATACAAGCAAAACACATGGGTTCCTGTCATAAATGATCTGTACACATTCGAATCTGATATTGGCCATATTTAAAACAATAATGTGAACAGCTATTCAAAAAAAATTGTATCTAAGCATTAAATCGGAATTGAGCGCTGAGGCTCGCAGTGTGAATGTAGCCTAAGACGCATAATTTGTCCTACAAACATGAAAGATACTTTAAATCATGGGACTTTAATAGACTATGTAGTCTGTTACTTTTGCAAGAGTTTAAACTTGAGATTTGTGATAAAACTGACAAAAAGACTTCCATTGCAGGAGAAACCCCTAATAACTGCATAAAATCCCCACCTACAAAACCACAGCAACTTTCGCAGCGACACTCGCGTTTTTGTCACATATAACCTTCCTCACTTGACAAGTGTTTATATGAACTGAGAATCGTGTCCAACTCTGACGTCATGCCGCCATCATTCGTCCAATCTCTAAACTGAGCCGAACAGACACATCTCATGTCCACCCGAGTATAAACAGAACCCATAACTGAATAATGTTCAGTTCTTTTCAAATTGAATTTATTGAAGGATATTACGCAAAATTGTGTCATTTATTTTCGTAAATCTCTATTGGACATCTAGACATGTACATCTGCATGCTGACGATTAGTTTTGACTGTTCCCATCTCACTGATTGTTTAAATTTCATGAATCTGTCACATTGAACTGAGAAACCTGATACTTCACGCATGTCAGGGTTTCCATTAACTAACGCAGATGTCGGATACCAATGTCAGGCCAAATCATAACTGACCTGAAGATTGTAAAATTGCTCTCAGCTTCCATGGTTTTGCTCCAAATGTTTTCCTGATGAATGTATTGAGGACGAGGAGGTTCTTCCATAGAGGAATTGTTATTCTTATTTTTTTGGACTACGAATATTGCTTATGTACGTTCTCAATTATGGGTAGCTTGTGTGTTTTGTCTTGTTTCATACAGTAATAGGTGATTTGGGTTATATTATCCTTCTAAATCTTCTCTCAAAAAAGCTTTTTTCATTGGAATTTGTCAGCTGGCATTATTATTAACGACATCCTGAGGAACCGATGCTTAGACTGTTAGAACATAACTATATCAGCCCGCTCAAACTTGTGACCAGTGCAGCATCTGTCCTCAATCACTGCATCGTCTGGTCTCAGGGCCCGTCTGGAAAACCACTTTATTAAATGATGGGACCCCTGCTATGCCTTTAGAGCCATTTATTCATTCAAGTGAACTGGAATAAGCAGACATAATGCACTCTTGGGGAGAAAAAGACACATCTCAGCATCTGTGAGAAACTGGTGTTGAATGAGAAGATTTGGTGTTTTTTAAATGTTGGTTTGTGATATGATATATCTAAAAAAGAACATTGATTTAAAAAAAAATGACTCATAATAATGCTAAAACACTTAAATTTGATGGTCCACTTTAGACATTCAATTAAATTAAGTATTGTGCCTTTGCAACTACATGTCATTTAACGCTCACTTTATTTTGATGCTCCCTCAACACACTTTCTACTGACTATAAGTAACTTTTGCAACTACATGTCAACTTATTATACTAACCTGAACCCTAACCTAACAGTCTGCTAATACTCTAATGAGAGTTGCAAAGTTAATATAGAAGTAACTTTTAGTTTGAAATAAAGTATAACCTATATACACACAATAAGAAATCTATATACATATACAGATTATATTATTGTTGTTCAAATGTTTGGGGTCAGTAAGATATTTTATAAAGAAAGTTAGCATTTTATTCAGCAAGGTTGGATTTAATTGCTCAAAAGTGTCAGTAAAGACATTTATAATGTTACTAAAGATTTATATTTGAAAAAAAAATGCTGTTCTTTAGATCTTTATATTCATCAAATAATCTAGTATCAAGTTTTTCACAACAAAATATTATGCAGTATCTGTTTTCAACATTGATAATAAGAAATGTTTCTTGAGCACCAAATCCATCTAATTACATTTTTTGAAGGATCGTGTGACTATACGTATGTGATAATAAATTACATGTAAAAAAAAATGAAAACAAATATTTTTATTTCAGTCATATTTCATAAAATTACTGTTTTTACTTTTTTACAATCTCTTAAAATTGGTTACACTTATTTAAGATACAGTCTTTGAAAATGAGTGTTAATATCATATGCAGTATTGCTTGACGGAAATGTATCTTGTTTAATGATTTTTAAGTTTAAACATGCATTAAATAAATGAAACGATTATTGAATGGTATTTCATGTTGAAAATACTGTAATTAGGCTGTTTCTGTTTCAAAACAAAGCTTTGTTAAAATGCCAGTTTTTGATGTGAAACCCCTTTAAACATTTCATCTTTGTTACAAGACAGAACATTTCTTAGCCGGTGATGTTGCAGTGAGCTAATTTTCTCTTCTAAATGTCAGTACCCGTGGAGCATGCCTCTACTAAAAAACACAGGAAATGCAGCTTACAAACAGTTTTCTAGTCCGTCAGCCTTTATTCCTCCTGGGTCTGCTTGCAGCCGCGAGTGCTGGTGGGTAAGTTACTACTTGAGCAGTGTATATTAAGCCAGAAAACCTAGCATGGGTTGTTAACTCTCCTCTGGGACAAAAACAAGCCCATATGGTACAATGTGCAATGAACTACGGTAGAGCAAGTGGCTGCGGGAACAATGTCTGTGAATAAAAATAGTACCATAACAAAAGAGTTACAGCTTCTTTGATACAGACTAGCAGAATTAATTAAAAGTTCCAAAGTGCCTTTAGTGAGTGGGGTTTTGGACACGAGTAAACAAATGAATTAGTCGAATATATGGATTTGCTTTTTTAAATGATCTTTAACTTTCCTACTGTCTGCCGCACGTCTTAACAAACACTTTCCTAACAGCACTATGATACATGAACAGGCTTTTGCAAGGACACTCTGAATCTGTCAGGCAGAGATGGAGGAGAGACAGGGACGTGTGGATAGTTGATGGCCATATTGATCTCCACCCCGTCCTCTTTATTAACAAGGTGCCTGCTCTCAGAGCTGCCCTATTCATTCAGACAGTCAACTCACGGCCGTCACGTCTTATTGACTCATTGTCATTTCCAGACTGTCAAGAATGAAAAAGCATTTTCTCTTTTAGCTTGTGCCTCTCTGTTTTATATTACTGTTTCTGCCTTCCTTAGATTAATTGTGTATTCTATTTGTCAGATTTGTCTTTATTTATTACAATGGCAACACTTGTGCCTTTGTTTTGATGCTTGACTTGAATTTACTCACCCCCATGTCATCCAAGATATTCTTCAGTCGAAAAAAAATTAAGGTTTTTGATGAAAACATTCCAGGATTTTCTCCATTATAATGGACTTCGATGGGAACCAAACGGTTCAAGGTCCAAATGAGAGTTTCAGTGCAGCTTCAAAGGGCTTTTCGAACTCGTTCATCAAAATGAACAAATCTTTTTCTGATTCAATTTGTTCATTTTGTTCGTTGAATCAACCAAATGACTCAAAAAAAGATTCGTTCATTTTGATGAACGAGTTCGAACAGGAGAGTCACGAACGCTCATCACAGAACAGAGCAAGGCGAGCATTTGTGCTTATAAAACTTAAACTTTGTTGTTATTTTTTTTAATGGCAGCTCGTTTCGCTAGATAAGACCCTTATTCATCGTCTGGAATCATTTAAAGCTTTGAAGCTGCACTGAAACTCTAATTTGGACCTTGAACCGTTTGGTTCCCATTGAAGTTCATGATATGGAGAAAAATACTGGAATGTTTTCATCAAAAATCTTAATTTCTTTTCTACTGAAAAAAGAAAGACACGGACATCATGGATGACATGGGGGTGAGGAAATTATTTGCAAAAGTTTTTTGTAAAAGGGAACTACTCCTTTAAGTCTGAACACATCTTCACAATCTGCATTTAGTTGCATGCAATACAAATTGATTTACCAGGTAGTACTTGAAAGTTTTTAATGAGACTTTTTTTTCACAAAAAAGTACCATTTATGGACTTGGTAAAATGGTAATAGCCTACTATGATGGATTACAACATGATGATAAACCATAGTTTTTTTTATATATATATATATATATACTGTATATATATATATATATATATATATAAATCAAGCACCATGGTATCACTATCACTGCAGTGCTGTTTAAAAGTTGTTGCACTCAGTTGGCAGGTGTTATGATATTGTTGGTAAGGTCCACATTGTCCTGAGAACAGCCTGTTTTGCCAGAACTGAAGCTACTTCACATGCATTGAAGCCCACTGTGTCTCTTATGTAAAGGGAGTCATGGCGGCAAAGGGATGTAAATCAACTAGTCAGAAACCCTATAACGTTGATGCATTCAAATGCTCTCATTCACATGTTAACGAACGGTCAGATATTGTTTGAGGCATGTGCACTGTGTTCATTCGACTTATTTCTGTAAATAGGACCAACTGCCATTCAAACGGCTCCATATTCTTTCCCTTTAGGCAATTCATGTGGCATATGACAAAAGTGTAGAAACGGGTGATGCTGCCCATGCGGAAGAGTTAATTGATCACACAGAAGTTATGATTGGAAATTCTCCAATGGAAAACCTACTGCTGATGATGTCACTGACATCTATTTCCTCTCTTCTAACTTAACTGAATTAACCACGCTGTGTCTTTTTTTCCTCTACAGAGGGGGAGCCCATTGAAGCCATCGCAAAATTTGATTATGTGGGGCGCTCTGCACGGGAGCTGTCCTTTAAGAAGGGTGCGTCTCTGCTGCTGTACCAGAGAGCGTCGGATGACTGGTGGGAGGGCCGACACAATGGCATAGACGGCCTAGTGCCTCACCAGTACATTGTTGTGCAGGATATGTGAGTATCTGTTCTGTTCTACTGTGATTAAACTCCACTGTCTGTAATGATTCGTATTCCAAGGATAGTTGGATGTATAATATAAATAATAAAAGTCCTTCAACAGAGTTTGATGATGCAATGTTGCTAACAGCATGATCATCTAAAATCTTAAAACAACATAGCACATCCATATTTTGAAGATTTGCAGATAACTATTTTTGGAGTATGAGTCTATTCAGTCCTTTCAGCATTAGATAAGTTTAATTTGAATTATTAATAATTTCAATTCAGATTACAATTTTATTGGTCACACTCACAACCACACACAGTAAAATGTGCCATGTTTTTTTTTTTTTTTTTTTTTTTTTTTGGTGTTTGTTTTGTCTTGTTATTGCTGTATGTTCCAAAACAAAAAGAGCACATTATGTCCTAACTGTACACATTTCCTTGTGGTTATGCATTATACTCCTGTGTATGATGTAGATAATATAACATTGTGAATATGTGCTTTAATAAAAAAATATTTGAAACAGTAAAATGCGCCATGAAATGCGTTTTGCGACTCTATACATTGGATAAAATCCACCAAATATAACATAAATTTGAGAAAAAATCTATTTTTGTTTGTAGAAATGTAAAAAAATTTAGAAAATCTAATAAAAAACAAGGATAAGAGACAATTTATGAATGTGTAATGGAAAACGTTTTAGTTATATATATATATATATATATATATATATATATATATATATATATATATATATATATGTTGTTTAATATGATATATAGAGTGCCGAAGTTATGACGTCACTCTGTAGGCCAAAACGCGGAAGTGAGTTAGCATTTTAGCACTCCCGGTTCCCTCGCACTAAAGTCTATGGGGTTTTTGAATGGGTTTTTTGCTAAATCGCCTGAAATAAGGTCTGTGGTGAACAAAGCATCTAAATATTTTCACGTTTTGATCTATGACATAGAACACACAGTTATAACCTGCTTGTTGTTTTTTAAACTTTATTGTGTCTGCTTGTGTTTTTAAAAAAACTTTATATAGGCTTCAAAATGTATAAATTTTGGATTAACTTGTAAAAATTATCTTGATAGGCACTCTATTAGGGTTGTGAATAGAATAAAAACTTGAACAAAAATGTTTGTACAAAATTTGTAATCATAAATGCATTTACATATAATTGTACAATCAACAAAGTATTTTAAATAATATGTATATTAAATAATATTTTAAATAAAATAGTTTAATGGAATAAATTAATGTATCATTTTATATTGATCTCCAAAATTAATGTTATTTTCCCCAGCCCTTGTTTGTATAGCATAATAATATTTTATATTTGTCCACAATTTTTTTGAAATGCATTGTGGGATTACTTTCTCCTCAAGAGTTAGACTTCTGTTCAAAGACTTATTTTCAGAGTAGGTACTGCATTTGATGAAAAACTTGCTTCTCAACCATTAATAAAATGTTATACTATATACTTCAATCTAGACATACTATATTCATACTATGTTAGGGAAGTAGGCATAGGGGATACAGACTTATAAGGCAGCTGCCTACTTAGAAAGGACAGTACCAATGTTGCGTTAAAATGCTGTCTAGATAGGCTCCTCATTAGATTTTGAACATAAATGAGCCACATCTGAGTTTAGAAGTAGCTCTGGACCATCTTCCTCCGGTAAATCTCTTTATTGTCATGACAACTTGTTCTGCCTGGGCAACTATTGGCGCCTTGTTGAACAGATTATGGCTCATAAAGGGGGCAAATCTAATGGATCGGGCACAGTGCTGAGTGACGCAAACAACATAGCCCATACCAGCCGACTGTGTGTGTGTGTGTATCAATAATTCACATCATGACCCTCTGTTGATGTGTGTTCTTGGCTCGTGGCACTGAGAGAATTTACAGCATAGTGGAACGAGGGAGTTTTAAGAGGCCCTAGACCAGCAGAGTCAGTCCCTCAGTCCAATAAAAGAGCAAGAGAGTGTAAGGACGTCAGTTTTGCAGCTCGTACACACATCAGCACAGTGGCACACGTACAATGGAGAGCATTCACATCTTAGCTTATAGAAATCTTTGTTTGGTGTTCAAAAACATGTGACCTAATGTACTGTCCAATAATCCGCATCAACAGCTGTGATTTTACACGGGACTTTTAGAGCTTTACGTGCCTCGTGTCAGGGCTATAAAGCACCACTTAACACAAGCATCACGTATCGCTTGACCTTCACATGAAAGTGTTGAACAAGGGCAATGTTACAAGATTGCAAGTTAGCATGGAAGCATTGTAAACAGGATAAACAGTGAAACAGCTGAAAAAAATGTCCTTGTGATTAATTGTTTTAAATGTTGCTGAAGCAGATAGGGTTGTGACAAACGAAGAAGAAACCAAAAATGTTTGAACTTTAAAGTGTCACGTTCAATTAGGGATGCATATTTACTGTAGTCAAAATATAAACGATTTGCTACTGTGTTATGGCTTTCTGCAATTTAATGAAAAAAGTAATGCAGTTCTTTTACACAGTGAAATCTTTTATCACATCTTTTATGTGTCGCATATTCTACTAGTAATAATAGTTATAATTATTATAAGTATTATTTTATAGTCCTATTGATAATCATAATATTGGGCTAAATTTCACAACCCTACAAACAAACAGAGTAAACCTTGCTGCTCTCTCTCTCTCTCTCTCTCTCTCTTTCTTTAACAGATGCATCAACTGACAGTTACTCTAATATTTGAATGCGTTCAGTTTTAAGTTTTGCTGATGATACTTCCTATTCTTTTGTTTTCTGCCTGCCGTAACTATGAGTGAAACGTCACTTCATCATTGTGTATCAGACATGACCACCTTGTGGAACTATTGTTGTGCAGTACAAATTAGTGAATGACGTCACGGGTCACTAAAGACCCGAGGTTTAAATATTAAACTATGCTAAATGCTTTTGAATGTTTTTTATTTATTTATTTTTTCTGCTTGTGTGTGTTTTTTTACAGGGATGACACATTCTCTGACACACTCAGTCAGAAGGCAGACAGCGAGGCCAGCAGTGGACACGGAGGAGAGGAGAAATGCTCCACTAGAGACATTGGATCTCCAACAGACAACAGAATACCTGATACCTACATCAGCAGGTGAGTGAACGAAAAACTTCCCAGAATTCCACTTGGTTTGAGACATTGAGTGTATTCAATAAAAGGCAACAGCACTTTAAAAAGTGATCAGATGACTTAACTTAAAGAAAAGTCTGGAAATTATTAAGTAATAAACTTGAAAAAAGTTGATCACGCATCAAAAACGCATGAAGTTTATTTACTTAATAATTTTAAGACAACGGGTTTCCTCGCTTTTTTAAGTTACAGTAAGTCAACTGATCTGTTTTTACATTAAGGTGATTAAATGACAAACATCAAACAATCAAGTACTCCTTATGTAACGAGAACTTAGAAAGAAATGTCAAGCAGTTCCATTGAGTGTTTTTTTTCTTTTTCTTGAAGTTTACTACATTAGTTTTTTATTCTGTTGATTTGTCTTGTATTCATTTGCTCTCTCCCCCTTTCATTTGCTCAATCCCTCTGTGTCGTGCTGCTATGTTTCCTGCCTCTTAAATCTTTCAGTGCATTTGTCTTTATTTAGATGTTCTCCTCCTTCCATAAGTGCATTTATCAAACATACTGAGGACAGCTTCTTCTGCAACTGTAAACCCAATGACATTATGGCAATCAAATTATAAAGTGTTGATCTCCAAAGACAAATATTCTTCTTGATGTGTCAGCGCTATTCCTAGCCGAGGAGGCGGGTGCTCATACAAATTAACTCAGTACTTATTTACATCCAGTTTGCCAGAAATGTGGATAAGAGTTGAATGTCTTAGTGTACTGCAATGTGATAACAGACCCATGCAGCTGACATCTGCGTCGTAGAAATGAAAGGACTCTGATACTTAAATGTTAAATGGTATTCAATATGAATTTAAATAATTTCTAGTCATTCTAAAGCAGATGGCTAATAAAAACCAGCAGTTCATATCTGTGTTTTCATGACTTGACTCTCTTTTGATACTCTTTGATTTCATGCAGCAGTGCCCCATTGCGTCGCCCCTTGTTTTAGTGCAGTGCAGGTCGCTCTCTGCTGGACAAATACTTCTACTGACGCTTTAGATAAAATGGAATACAAAATTAATTCAGTTCTTCTTAATATGGTCATTTTTAGCTGCACAGTTGAGTCATTTATGAACTCGCAGATTAGCATCTCATTACTAATGACCATCTATCACGGACTGTCAAAACGATTCTGTGAACATTAAGTTAAAGGAGTAGTTCACTTCAAAAAAAACTTTTGCTGATAATTTCCTCACCCCCATGTCATCCAAGATGTCCATGTCTTTCTTTCTTTAGTTGAAAATAAATTAAGGTTTTTGATGAAAACATTCCAGGAATTTCTCCATATAATGGACTTCAATGGGAACCAAACGGTTCAAGGTCCAAATGAGAGATTCATTGCAGCTTCAAAGAGCTTTAAACCACACCATACGATGAATAAGGGTCTTATCTAGCGAAACGATCGCTCATTTCAAAAATAAATAATAAGTTTAAGTTTTATAAATGCTCGCATTGCTCTGTTCTGTGATGAGCGTTCGTGACTCTCCTGTTCAAACTTGTTCATCCCGATCAAAATGAACGAATCTTTTCTGAGTCATGACTCGAAGGGACCTAGATAAGACCCTTATTCATCGTCTGATGTCGTTTAAAGCCCTTTGAAGCTGCACTGAAACTCTCATTTGGACCTTGAACCGTTTGGTTCCCATTGAAGTCCATTATATGGAGAAAATCCTGGAATGTTTTCATCAAAAACCTTAATTTCTTTTCGATTGAAGAAAGAAAGACGTGGACATCTTGGATGACATGGCGTGGGTAAATTATCAGCAAAAGTTTTTTTAAAAGTGAACTACTCCTTTAAGAGAAAACTTGTGGAAATCTTCAGCACTTCAACGCTAGAAAATACTCCATTTTAGTAATTGAAATCATTTATTGTTTTAACTATGCACACTTTCGTCCTTATACACACTTCACACTCACTAGTGGATATACTTGTATTGCGGAACAATAATCCTACTCCCCAACAGTCATATCCACCCATGTTATTTGTGTACTATTACAACTTTATTCATATTTTGATTCAGCTTTTTTATATTTTCAGTTTAATCTTAGTTTTTGTAATTTTGTCTTTTTTATTTTATTTTTTTATTGGCTTTCAGCGTACTTTTTATTTTTTTTATTTATTTCAGTATGTTGCCACGGAACAGTTTTGTAACACTTTTCACCACATCTTTCATGTCTAAACCCATCTGTGTTTTCAAAGTTTTTGGAAGATTCTTTAGGACTCTAAATAAGCCAAATTAACTACCGGTAATAATTATTTCACAGTAGTGTCACGCATAATTACAGCTTGATTGGAAATGACACATTACATGAATGAATTTTTTGCCAGTATAATTATCAAATTTTTCTTTGATAATTTTCTTTGAGTCGTCTCCTTGATAAACACTAATATTAACTTTTGAAAAACTGTTGATATGGGAACCAAAGGAAGTTTGTAAAGCCAAAATATAAAGCCAAATAATATATTTTAATCCTGACACCAGGCATCTTCTCTGAGCTGAGCTTTTAGTTATTAATACTGTAAGATCCACAGGCATCATACATCATTCTGACTTCTGCCAAGCTGGTTTCTGCCAGGCCTCTTGTCATGAATCTGCAGAGTAAGTCTTACCACAAATACTCTGGAGATGCCTCTGACACTGATGCTAATTATGCATGAGCGCTGAAGGTTAGCGAACACTTGATGTTGCCAAATGCAGCATGTGATAACTAGCTAGTGTTCAAACCATGTCCACCACTGAACATTAAAGGGGTCCTTTTATGCTTTTTTTTACATTTTCAACTTTCTTGAGTGTCCAATGTTGCCTTTTGACCCTGAAAAAGGTCTGCAAAGTTACAAAGCACAATATCTACTCCAAAGGGAGTTATTCTCTGTATTTGTACAAAGTTTTTCCTGGGTCAAAATGACCTTCGGTGGTGATGGATAACAGAAACTTTTATGACATATCTAATCATGAAACTAAGTACTTAGAACTATTTATATTTAAAAATCTGTAAATTTATGTGTAAAAAGTGACTGATTTGAAAAGTTAGTAATACAAATAAAACAAAGTTACACATAACAGGTCATGCATAGATCATTTGACATACCATATCAGATTGTTTTGTTCTGTCCTGTGCTATTGTTATCATTGTCAATTGGATTCAATCTTGTATTTAAATACGGTTGTCAATCCAGAAAATGTACAATGTGTAGTTAGCAATATGAAAAATATATATTATGTACAGAAAACGAGCAAAGATCACTGCCATTGTAATCACTGAACCTGTCAATAAGTACAGTTACCTTATAGGAGTGTTGGAACTCGCAGTTATTACACTGTGATTTTCAGAAGGACGACTTCAAAATGACTGGAACTAAACAGTGTGTTACAGACAGACTGGGAAGAGGGGTGCTGCAATGATGTAAAATATGTGGGGAAATGATTCTAGACTTCTTAAAAGAGCATAGTCGGTCCCCTTTAAGTTGAAAGGCCATCTTAGTATGGAAACAGATTCATTAAACACATTATCTTATTTTGTTTAGCAGGCACAGGAAGAGAAGTGACCCTCCGTCCCGTAGGCCCCCAGCTCGCCCCACTGACGCCCACTGCATGCTCCACCCATCTCAGGACCATCATGGTAACCATAGCAGCCTCGGCAGTCACGGCACCGCAGATTTGGGATCCCCGGCGATGGGCCACTACAGTCCGCGGGAGCTGCTGAGAGGAAGGGGACACATGCCCATGGACAGCCCCGAGAGACGCAGACGAACCGGCCACGGCAGCCTGACCAACATCAGCCGGCATGAGTCCATAAAAAAGATGGAGAGCCCTCCCATCCGAAGGTCCACATCTTCAGGCCAGTACAAGAGCTTGGATCCAGAGAGCATCGCACAGGTCAGCGGGAGGCGAGCGACGACGCCCCTCACACCATGCGCAGCAGGCCCAGCCCTGTAACATAGTCAGTTACTGCCTCCTGTTACTAATGACTAATGCATATCTGCAACACACATTCACACACTCACATACTGGGCCTCATTTATGAAGCACAAGCAGAGAAAAAAAATCTAGTTTAAATGTGTTGTGAGCCAATGCTTCTCAATCATTCTGGCCCTGTTTACACCTGGTATTAAAATGCGTTTTTGGTAAATCGGATCACAAGTGAACAACGCTAAATACAGGTGTAAACGGGGTGTTTTGAGCTTCTAGAGGTAGTCGAAAACTCATTCGACCGGAGTTTTCGTAGTGTAAATGCTTGTGTCAGCCACAAAAGACCACCTACTGACTTAATGCGTAAACATTGTGGGAAGAGCAATAGACAGATGGGATTTAAAAACTTTTCATTTTAAAGACTATTTCTGATTTCTTGTGTCTTACCAAGCAGAAACAAAAGCTGCTGCTCTCCGTATGTTTTCTGGTCATCTCTGGTCGTGTTCATTTGTAAGTTGCGTGAGCTTATTTCATCCATTTAATTGAAAGATCATACATTTACCTGCCCATAGACTGTCCCCTCAAAGAAATCAAAGTGGTTGAAAGTGGACAAAAGAGTCTGATTAAAACACCAATGGATCTCCCTCATCTACTTGCGATCTGATTGACCAAAACATATTTTAATACCAGGTGTAAACAGGTCTTTTGACTCCCCCCATTGGAGGCTGAACATATAGGCTAATGCTGTTTATTTCCTTGTTTGTTAATAGACTTTATTTACAGAATCTTAGTCAGTAGGTTAAAATAACTTAACACTATTCACCTATTGTGATGTTTGATAGCCTTCTCGCTCTTTTTGACATGATTTTTACAAATAATTTTGCTCACAAAGATCAGTTTCTACCCAGTAAAATGATTTAGATATTTATATGAATTATAGAAATGTCCATGACTTTATATATTTTTTGTATTATTTTTAAAATTTAGAAATTGAATTATCATTTGAAATATTTATTAAAGATTAAGTTTGCTGAGGGCCCTAGTGAATTTACATGAATTTTCCAGTCATTTGTGATTACTGAATAAGAACTTTATAAAATATTTTATGGATGAATTAGAAAAATATATATTTGTATTCAGTTTATATTTTCTTTGGATGTTTTTCTAATTTAATATATATATATATATATATATATATATAAATTATTAAAAACATTCAAAGAAAATATAAACTGAATATATATATATATTCAGTTTATATTTACTTTGAATGTTTTTATAGTTTTTATATATATATATATATATATATATATATATATATATATATATATATATATTCAATTATTAAAACATTAAAAGAAAATATAAACGAAATACCACAAGTTAGTTTAATTTAGGTATAAATGGCTTTACAAACAGTTCACACACATTAATTCTGCTTGCGTTTCATCAATAAGGCCTATTTTCATATTTGAAATAGTTCCGTTTATTGATTCCAAAAGCAAACCTTGATGTGGCACAATAAGTAGTATCCTCATGGGTCTCTTTGTTTAATACTAACAATCTGACCATATTATGAACACATATTGTAAGTACTTTTTATCTCACTTGATGTGTTGTAGCATGTTGTCTGCATGCATGTATTAGCATTTGTTTGATGTTTATTATTATAATTTCGGCCACCTACACACTCAAACTCTCTGTCTCATTTTCCTGTAGGACATAGAGGAGACGATGAACACTGCTCTGAATGAGCTGAAGGAGCTGGAACGGCAGAGTTCTGCTAAACACGCTCCTGACGTGGTGCTGGACACCCTGGAGCAGATGAAGAACGCTCCCACACCGGCCAGCTCCACCGAGTCCCTCAGCCAACTGCACGGCCTCCTGCTACGGCCCGCCCCAACGGAGCCCCCCATGCGCCGCAGCACCAGCTCCTCTAGCGATACCATGAGCACCTTCAAACCCGCCGTGGCCCCACGCATGGGGGTGCAGCTCAAGCCCCCTGCCCTGCGGCCCAAACCCATGGTGGCGATACCCAAGACGGGAGCGGCGCAGCATCCGGCGCCCCCTCCACAGGATCCACTGGACAAATCCTGCACCATGTGATCAACTGTGGGAGTTGCATTCAGAGCGACAGTGAGGAAACAATGTCAAATTAGGACCTTTGCAGTCAGAGCCAGGTTTTTACTTTTTGCAACATTTCATTCGGCGGACTAAAACAAATATAGGTAACTAAAGATACTAGAAATGGTTGAGTTGTTAGTTTAAAACAGTGTGTGTGTGTGTGTGTGTGTGTGTGTGTAGAATTCCAACACTATTTTAGGGTTATTAATAAACCAGAATAACGTCCGTTACTAAGCATGGTTCAGAGTTACTTAAACAGGCGTTTACTATTTCAGAGAGTAAGTTACATTTCCTCTCATGACCTATTCAAGCAGACATTCTTAAATATATTCGAAAGACACCTGCAACTAACAGAAAGATATTTATGTGTATCCAAAAACTGTTTGCATGCTTGTCCGACACCTTATTTTTTCCCGCAATACTCTGTGTGAATAGATTAAGGAGTTCTGAAAAAAGATATTAAAGAGAGCAACAAATCACTACAGCTTCCTATATTCTTAGAGTGACTTTTTAAATATCAGCAGTTTACATCCACTAGAAAAACTGTTAAATGTGAATTATACAGAAACTAAGCAGGGTCTTTGGTTTCTCTGTTTACAGCATAAGGATTGTGGGAAATGTGTCTTTACATCTCATGAGTGTTTTCTGGTCAGGACTGATGTGTGGAATGTTGAGGTTGGAGATGCACTGCCATATAAGGGCATGTGATGTCAGATATTTTGCCCGGCCTGATTGGCTGTTGAATGATTTTAAGTTGAATTAGCAAGGCTTTGCTTTGAATATTATATTTTTGATAGTAATATTTGAATATATGCCCAGGGAGTTTGCGTAAACCACATCCGCTTACCGTACATTTTTTTTTTAAGTACTTCACTCAGTTTCTTATTTGAAAGAAATATATATTGTGTATATAAATGTACATCCACTAAACCTTCTTTTTATTTTTATTTTGTGGGTCTTTTATGTACGTTACTTTCTCCCAGGCCAATTTGGAACAACTTCTCACTATAAACCATTTTTTTAAGTATCTCTCTGCTTAATTAAATGTAATCTGTGAATAGTAAAGTCTAGCTGCCAAAAAAAGTAAAGTTCTTCAAGTGCTGCTTAGAGTTTGATGCGGATAGGCTACAAGAATCATTTGCTTAGCTGTATAAAACCCTTGGCTACCCTATAAGCATGAACGATAATCCTTTTAGTTGTCTCATGCAAGTGCTTTTCTAGAAACTTTTAAGGCAATATTTCTTCTTGTTTCACCCAACAAGGGAATGATGCCAATAGCCATGGACTCAGAGACTGTTAATACAGTACTTTCAGTGGGATAGTGCTGTTTCTTTTGTGTGCTAGTGGCCCATTAACCCTTCGTAATAATGTCACATACAGCACCACACCCAAATGAAGTCAGTCACATGACGTACCCAAAGACAATAAATATAAATATGTATAGCATCAGTCACTCCATTGTCCATTGTATTTGCACTCCAAAATGAAAAATCTGGGATTTCGTATACCGTATCTGTGCATCAACATTCTCATTATTATGACAGTTTGGCAATAGTTTAGTGTTACTTGTACTGTATTCACTGATAAATATACAACAGTTTACTCCTATTTAAGCAGAATATGCCATGAAATGTGTTTGGATGATGTTAAGAAATTGTCCATCGCTGAACCAAGGGAGAAACTTTAAGACAATAATAAGCAATGCCTGTTTTTAAACATGTAAAAGGAACATACTAAAGCCTTTTGATTACCGATTTATATTTAGTGATATTAAAGACGATTACAAAGTGTTTTATTTTATTATGATTTTTTTAAGAGTGTACATTACGTTGATATTTTAGATCTTATGTCTCTCAGCTAAGCCTTGAGAAATGTTCTCCCTGCAAAACTACACACAGTTGCAAAATCTCTGTATGTATTTAATTGCTGTTTTATCAGTGTGTTCATGTACATCTCTGTACTATGTACTTGTGTAAGTGCCTTTAAAAACTGTTTTAGAGGAACTTCATACAAACGTCCTCTGTGCCGTGGCATTCTTATTTCAGATCCAGTATACCGAGTTGCTAGGGATTACAGTAAATAAATGATTACTAACATTGTTCTGTTTATTAAGTTGTAAGAATGATCAAATAAAAAAAGATACTGCTTGGCCATTGTGACATTGCACTTTTATGTAAGACTGTATATTTGGCATGTAACATCCTAACAAGTTGTAGAGCTTTTGGAGGACTGCTCAGTCTTTCTAATAAAGAACATAATAGTTTGGTCAGTTCACTGAGGTGTTGGCTTTTATCTCCTCTCTTCCTCCTTTGACCGTGTTGTTTTCTTAAAGGATAAGGTTGTATGTGTTGACGTATGACATTACATACACATGGTGAAGTCTTCACAATATGATGCTTAAAAACAAAGACAGTGGCTTAATGATTTCCCAGTCTGGACTTGCTTGGTTCCCAGTCACTGTTAATGAGGAAGGAGTGTCGGAGCATTTTGAAAAAGAAGATCTGTTTAAACGTGTTTGTTATTTTTTGCCGTCTTTTTTTAACCTGAAGGGACACCGTAGCATTTACCAGTTCAAATTGAACCAATATTATGAATCTCAGAATTTACAAAGAACTTATTCATAATATAATAATAAGATGCTACCTGTGATCATGCTTCTTACACTTGTAATTGCATGCTAATCATAAACAAACTTTTATTTTCCTATACTATATAGAAAGTGTTAAAAAAAAAATAAGATTTTTTTTTTTTTTTTTTTTTTCTGGGAGCCATCTTCCAGAATTCCTCTTGCCTGCCTACTGGCAACTAATGTTAATGTTTTTATGTGTGAAACGAAAGAGGATGTGATGCGACACACGTCGAACTGGAAACTAGCATGAAGGAAAGGGTGACTGGGGCAATGGGAAATGTAAAAATGTTTCCTTAACCAGAATCAAGTATTACAGCGAGCATTTTAAGATGTTTATTTTTCAGGTTTAGGTTTTATAGTTGTATAGTTACGTTTTTAAGACCGAGTTTATAGTTGCCATGAAATTCGTTGTTTGTCAAATGCCATTAAAACCTCAAAAGAACAGCTAGCAGGCAGCTATGGTAGCCATGGTGACTTATTGTATGGTTTCCTGGAGTTGCATGCATAGTTATAAAGACATAGGTTCCTCATTAGCGTCTGTTTTCTTTGGGCTATAATCCGTCCGCCATATTGGAACGGTCAAAACCTGTCCCTAAACATTAGAGAGCAAGTGCCTACCAGACACATGAGCATCTATATCTGCAATAGTAGACTTTGGCAGATGATTTTGCAAAACTAAAATACATCAATACAACAAAAAACGGCGTTAGCTAAAAGTTTCCATAGTTAAAAAAAACCTGGAATATTGAGTTAATACAACACATTTTCACCTGTGAAATGTTATCCCATTTTTTCGGTAATTTAAGTCTAATCTCTTTGGTTTCATAACCAGAAATTACTCGGATTGACATCAATCCGACTTTGATTTCCAAAATGCAACCCCTGCAACCAAAATCATCCCCTGACTGACGTTACTACTTTCTACTCAAGGACACTGACAGAAATGAGTTAAAAGTCTGATATTTGTCTTTCAGATGTAGTGAAGTTAAAGTAAAAATTTTCCAGAAAAAATAATACTCAAGTAGGCTACAGACACTCAAAAAGTGCAAGTACAATACTCAAGTAAATGTACTTTGTTACTGTTCACCTCAGATTATTAATTACACCTTTAAAATATGGTTGAAAGAGTTTTTAAAGAATAGAGAAAGGTTTTGGAAGACTTGGAGGCTGTTGAAATGCAATTTTTCAGTTAAATTGGCCAGTTTTTACAGACAAGCCCTTCAAATGGGTAAAGTATAAGCACAAATTTTCACCGCACAATTATTTCATATTACAAATTACAAAGACTATTTAAAAAAAAATTACTATCATACTTGGTTCCATGAAGAGATATATTAGTAAGACAATTGGTTAATATTTGTTATCATATAGGCTACTGAATTTCTACAAAGATTTAAATGACCAGTTAACAGTTTGCTATGGTTCTTGACAAAATGGTTCTTCCAAAGAGTGTCTTTCTCTAATTCTGGGAAATCAACATGGATGATCTCTGTGGTAACATTTTCATTGATAATGTTAACGTTTAAAAGTAAATGTCTTAAAAAATACCAGAATATATCCTGCTAAGCATGTTTTGGACAGATTTAAGCTTAATATATCATATACCTGTGAATTTTGTGCACTAGAAAAATAAACTATTTTGCATCTCTTTTTTTCACTGTATCGACTCAAGAATATTTTGGAACGATTTAGAAACCTTTATGAGTAGAAAACTGATGTGTATGATAGAGATGTGTCAATTTGATGTGTTTTTACACTCAGAATGACAATTTGGAATGTAAAGAACAAGATTACGTGTTATCAATGTTATTTATTTTTCCAGGAAAATACCAAATAATACTTAAAAAGACGTGGGCTCTAATGCAAACCATTTTTTTCATATTTTAAAAACATCTTTAAACTATATTTAATTCAAATGTTTTGAAAGCACTGGATTTTATGTAATTTTCTATTTTTGTTTTTTGTTTTGTTTTTTCTCTCATTTCCTGGCTGCTAATGGCATTGAATGAAAAAAAAAAAAAACTGTGACTGACGACACGCGGACAGTTCCAAGATGGCGGGGGCGCCGACGTGTTGTTAAAAAAAAGTGGCTTTGGGTTGCACGCGGCAGGGGGCGCCAAATACCAGCATCAGTTTTGCTTTCGTTTCCGTTTAAATGCCCCGAAACAATCGGCCAAACCCTATAAGCAGTGAAGGCATCAATAAAAATGTCGTATATCGTCTCACGACACATATTTAACTTTCTCTGCAAACATGAAGGCTGTACGGAGTATGGTAAAGTCGAGAGGAATTTGCGGCAGAGTTTCACGGTGGCGGATCAGGTTTTGTCTCAGGTGCTCGATGATCACCAGAGGTTTGTTATTGTTCAGGATGAAGGCTCGAATCCCAGAAACTCCATACCAGCTGCTGACAGCCAGATCATAGCCAAAACCTCACTGCGAGTGTGTAAAAATGACAAATGTACCGCCGGGTGTGAAGACCTACACCTGTGTAGGTACTTTGTCTGTGGAAATTGCAGATTTGGGTAAGTAAGTTAAACTTTATATTAATTCGTAGGCCTGCCGGTTGCAATGAATAGGCTATATGTATATGTCATAAACACTAAGGTAAAGATAAGGTATATTAAAACTAACTAGCGTCTATATATCATATGTTAGTAGCCTATAGCCCCTGCATGTTTACTTTTACTGGTAGTAATCCAGTAGCGCCTAGTAGCCTATATTTTATTCTATTTTATTTTATTAGTATGATACTAGCACAGTTACAGTGACAACTAACTACCATTGTATCTAGTATATTTCAATTTTGCTGGTAACTATTTCAATTTTACTAGGCAGCCCAACCCTAACCAGTTTTCTTATTATGATTAGCCATCGTCATTACATATGAGTGAAAAGCTAGTTGCATCTAGTAAGATGAGAAATGTTTCCAGTATCATACTTGTCTCATAACTAGGCACTTACTCTAGGAACTAGTAAAGTTGGAATAGGTGCCAGCAATAGTTGGAATGCAGCATGCATACTAAATATGTAGTTTAGAATAATATTACTTAATAAAATAACATTTGCACAATTTTTGCTTAGACACAATTACAGCTTGTTTGTGAATTACAAAAGAAGAGATGATAGATGATATGTTTAGGGTTGAAAATAACATTTCCCTGTTTATAAATATATTTAATTTGCCTTATTTTTCATTCATAGGGCGAAATGCAAAAATCCCCATGACTTGACTTCAGCACATAATTCTGACCTCTTGAAAAGTAATGATCTTCATGGCCTTACAAGTGGAGAGTTGTTTCAACTTCTGCTTCAAAATGACCCATCATTACTTCCTGAGGTCAATATCTATAAAACAGGTTTGCTAGTTATGGCATTCTTTATTCAGGTGACTTTTGTAAGTCAGACTCTGGACGGTATTTGAAACTGACTTTAAAATATTTAGATTGTGTAAACATTAACTTTTCACCTGCATGAGCATATCTCACTCTGCATAACAAGAGAAGTGATTACAGAAGCTGTGTACTCTGTCCCAGGATGGCCGAACACACTCAACATATTTTTATCTACAGTATGTGACTCTCGTCTTCTGTCATTTGTCTAGGTGTGCTCCCATTACAACAAGGGGATTGGCGAATATGGCAGTTGTAAATATAAAACATCCTGTACCAACCTTCACATCTGCCAGCACTTCCTGCAGGATGACTGTAAGTTTGGAGCAGGCTGCAAAAGGGCCCACGGATTTGATGCAAATGCTCAGAAAACTCTGAATGTCCGAGGACTCGGTCCAGAAAACATGCTCAAACTTCGCAAGCTTTACAAGAACAAGTTACTGATTGCGTCTTCCGCCTTCAAGAAAAGTGAGATAGGTGAATGAAAAAAAAGAGCCACTGATTCATTCTGTTTTCTAATTAGTGCACATTATTTTGGTTCTCCTTCTCCATGTCTCATTTCATTCTGTTTTCTATCTGGACAGCAGCTCTACCAGCAGTGAGAGGACCCACCAGACACAAATCCAGCAGCTCTGTCAGTGAAGCGGATCACAATGAAATCTGTCTCTTTTTCATACGCACCGGATGTAGTTTCAAAGGTGATTTAATTTAATATATTCTAAATTATAATCGCAAAGAAGAACTGTGTCCGAAATTGCATGTCGGTACTACATTTTGCTGTAAAAGTCCTGTATAGTATGATTATGGGTTGTATGAATGAAATTTGTTCTACAACTGTACCATCGTCAGTTGTGTTGCTTCACTGCCATTCATAACTCATCTCCATCAAACACGCACTCCACAGAATCTCAGCATAAGCAGTAGGTCATCTGGATGTTTTTTGGATGATATGTATTTGGACATAAATAGAACTCAACCTTTTAATATTAAAATATATTTCTTTTACGTTATAAATAAATCAGCTAATTAGCATTAATGAAATATTTTTTCAGCATGCTTTTATAGGTTTCTTTCCTATAAATAAAATATGCATAATAGTAACTTAAAAAAAGTGAAATCTGTAGATTTGAAATGGATAAATTCGAGAGGTTGTGGAATGGATTCTTGAAATGTATTCGGACAACAAGATCAGACTTTGTCTGAAACATAATACCTGAGGCACTCCCCTGTTCTTGTTCTTGCTACCATTTTGTTTGTTTGTTTTGTTTTATTATTAATTAATTTATTATTTATTTTAATTTATAATTTGTTTGTTTTTTATTGATTTATTTTTTTCGTTTTGAAGAAATTATGATGTAGGACAAGACAAAGATGGTGTATAATATGATCAAATGTGTATTTATGTCTTGCAACGTCAATAAAAAATAAATTATAAAAAAAAAAAAGTGAAATCTGCTCTGCAACGTTACTTGGTCACAAGCGTGAACTCGTCTCACAAGGTGCCACAATTGGTGAATATAAAGAAGTGTCAGTTAGAGCCCCAAAATAGGTGGTATTATTTGCAAGTGTTTTTTTTTTTTTTTTTTTTTTTTGAGAACAGCTTAATTCTGTTTTGTGGGGGTGTAGGGGAACAAGAATTATGGTAAATAAAAAATGGGACAAAAAAAAAAACCTCTTTACGTTAACCAAAAAAAACAACAACATTTGATTAAGTGTGTTTTATTCTCAGAGCAATGTGTTTGACATCCCATCATTGTGTTCCCTCTAGACAAGTGTGCCCGTTTTCACCACCATCTACCCTATAAATGGCAGATATTGCAGAAGGATGGAACTACGTGGGGTGACTTACTGAATGAAGAGGAGGTTGAGAAGGAATACTGCAATCCAGCTAATGTTCTGTGGTATAAAAAGATACACACACACACACACACACACACACACACACACACACACACACACACACACACACACACACACACACATATATATATATATACACTGTGTTGGGTATGTTACTTAAAAAAAGTAATTAGTTATAGTTACTAGTAATTTCTTACACATAGTAACTGAGTTAAATAATTATAAAAGTAACTAATTACCACTATTGCGTTACTTTTTAAAAAAAAATATTAAAATAGGCTTATGTCAAATAACTTAGATGCTACCAATATTAAATATGTTAAATTCATGAAATGGACACTATATACGTACTGTAATAAATTATTGTTACAAAACATTGTACACTAATCTACACTTTCGTAATGTTGCTGTGGGACAATGTGAGAGACGCCTATAAAATTCATTATATTATTTTAAATATTATCATTACTATAGTAGAACAATAAAACATAATTTTAGGTTTAGGTTTAGAACTTTTAATATTTAATATTGCACAGACCACAACTGGCCAACAAATAAATCTAAAAATAAATGATGCTTAAATGTACCAAAAATGAATAAAAAATAATAAAAACATATACATACACTCTTTGTAGGGAAAATTAAAATGATAAACAGTTTAACAAGAAGTGCTCCCAGAACCCGAATTCCCAGAACGTTCCCTGCAGGTTATTTTTTAGATTTTATTTGTACAACCATGTAAATTAATTAAAACTTTGCAGATGATACCAATAGGCTACAGAGATTATTCTAATGCTGAAATTTGTAATTTATTTATAAACCAACTATATAATGCTCGGACACACTCTGTCTCTCTCGCGCAGTCAAGCGCGCTGTCGAACACACTCTTTCTCACGCATTGTCGAACGCGCTCGCGCCGTTCGCTTCACTTTAGTCCAGTCCGGCGCCTCATAAACACACACAGACACACACACACCAGAGAAAAAAAAAACTTTGCAGGTCTTATGGCAGAGAGAGAGAGCCTACTCGGATGGAAACCGATTCAGTGAGCTCAATTAGGCTATAGTAACGCCGTATTTTATTGTCATTAACGGTGACGGCGTTGTAATGGGGAAAACAGTTATTCGTTTGATTACTCATGTACTATGAAAGATAACACCGTTAGTAACGCCGTTTATTATAATACCGTTATTCCCATCACTGTGTGTGTATTTATGTGTATATATACAGTGTATATATACAGTATATATATATATATATATATACTCAGTTATATTTTAATGGGTTTTCTAATAACATTAATGTTGCAAATATAGCGTTTCATCAGTCTTGCAAATTAACCAATGCTTTTAGAAATGCTTTGTCAGTTGTACGTGATTAATCTTTTTGTGTCCAATAAAAGGGAAGGTTACTGAGATGAAATCAGCAGCATTTAGCTTGTCATGTGATCTTATTATATCTGCTCCTATGAGGAGACCCGCTTCATATAAAAAAAATGTGTTTTATTAAGTCATTGATGAGAAAAAAGGAAAATTGATTGGAAAAAATAGTGCCCAATTAAAGATTGTACAGATTGTACATGTGCACCTGAAGTGGCCAGTAATTGTAGTCGTTTGTCATTTTTTATAACACCCTTTTCTCCCTCTTGTTGTGTTCTCCATATTGCAGTATTACCCAGAGCAGCTCGGGGCATCATCAGGTAGTGGACTTCATGTCAATGACTTGTGGAGTGTCAGAAGTCCGTCGGCGGTCCACAGCATCATCTGTTACTAAACCTCCCCATTTCATTCTGACCACTGAATGGATCTGGTACTGGAGGAATGACAAGGGAGGTTGGACGGAGTATGGCAAAGGGGTCCGTGACACATTTGCAACACAATACCTCTTAAAAAATGATTCTTGAAGAATAATACTATACATTTACAGTTAATTGTGTCAATATATTATACAAAAAACCTGTTAGCTTTTTAACTACATATCACTGCCGTCCGTTATTGTGTGAATCTTACAGGAGGATTCTAAACTCATGGCGTCAGTCACCTCAGAAGACCTCGAGAAACATTACCTGGCTGACAGAGAAAAGGAAATCTCATTCACTTCACAGAACCATCAATACGTCCTCAAATTAAAAGGTACTTGGGTTGTTACTGTTAACTAAAACTAATAAGCTGAAATAAATTCCAAATATTAGATGAAAAACTTGGCAACTATTGGCAACTAACTAAAAAAAAGAAACAAGAATAACAATGACAAAAGCACATACAATTACTAACCTAATTTATAACAAAATTGAACATAAAAATAAAGGTAATACAAAACAATAAATCCTATAATAATATATAAATAAGGTCAAACTTCTAACTATTAACAATAAACTCCTAATTACTGCATATTAATAGTTAGTACGGTAGTTGTTAGATGTATGTATTGGGTAGTATTAGGAATGAAGAATATTGTCATGCAGAATAAGGCATTAATATGTGCTTTATAAGTACTGATATAAGTACTAAGTACTAAAAAGCAACAGGTTAATCGTGAGAAATTGGACCCTAAACTAAACTGTTACCATAATAATACTAAAATAGAGTTGACATGATGTTTTGGCAAATAATTTTCAGAGATGTGCCAGCGAAATCTGAAGTACAAAACTGAAAGGGACGTTAGAAGGAGACCACGTTTTGTTTCTGCCGAAGATGTCAAGAGCAAAATCAAGGGGTATGATATACTCTACCACTTGTCAATTGCATGCACACACATTGAACATGATTTATTTGTTGTTCAGTGGACTTTAGTGTGTTGTGTTTTAATTAGAAGTGAGTCTCCAGACAGCTCAGCATCTTCTTCTGTGGAAGTTCCTCCTTACTGGGACAAAGGAGCTCTTCCTAGCTCTACTTACAAGGTACATAGTCCAATCGCATTGAGTACAGAGAGGTCAAACATTTACTAAACGCTATGGGAATAAATTCTGTACTGTACTTGGGGGTTATGCTGTAGATGAAGATTAGTATTTCTAGCATTTTATCCAAAGCGAGATATGTGGAACATCACATTTTGTTTATGTTAGTCAAACAGTCATTTAATAATACTGACTTTCTGAATCTAAACCAGTGTAATGTTTCCCTTAGATTATTCCTTTGCAAAGCTCTTCCAAGGAGTACCAAAGGGTGGGTTCAATGTTTAGTAGAACAATGGCCAAAAGCATCATTCACAGCATTGAAAGAGTGCAGAATCCTTCTCTCTGGAAGGTCTTTCAGTGGTATGTTTTTTCATATATTTCTATTTAATATTTCACTAGAAAAACAACAACATGACTACTAGAAGAAACTTCAGCTATACTGTATTTGTAAAAACTTTCATTTTGGACCGTCAGATTTTTTGGATCCGCAAACAAATGCTAAAGCTTTTTCACTTTCAAAGTCATTTCCCCTCAAAATCTCACAGGTGTAGTTTATCACTTGAACTATGAACATGTTCCATGAATGTGGGATGAACATAAAGTAAACCAATCAATATATGATTATTGAACAATATATCTAATATTTTTATTTAAATTATAACATGGTATTTTGCTTGAAAAATGTGCTATACCAGAACAACTTTCCCTCCCACTTGTGATGACATCCCATCTTTTCTCTGTTGATGATTTTTGGGATCACAATGATCCAATCAATTGCCGATGGACAAAATTAAGTCCCAGCCTACATTTCTTTTCTTGCTCAACAAAGCCATTTCACTCGGATGTACTGCACATCGCAAACGGGGGGAAAAAAGACTACCGCAACTTCCGTTTCATGACAACTTTAATATTAATAAGTGTTTTAAAAACATGAATATTTAATATTAAAAACACTATTTTAGACACTATTTACATTCCAAGTGGGTAATAATATATTTTTGAAAATGGTATACGCGGTTTATTGATCTAATTTACCCATTATACCATGTTTTTTTTTCTAGGCAAAAAGAACAAATGATTTTGAAGAATGGAGGGAATGCTGTGAACCAGCGTTACCTTTTCCATGGTACGGATGAGTCTTTCATAGATGCCATCTGTGAGCAGAACTTTGACTGGAGGATCTGTGGGAGTCATGGGACAAGTTATGGGAAAGGTATTCATGCATCTTTGCAGCATATAACATCTCTTCATCATATTACGTACAATGAAAGTTATTAAAGGAGTACAGTAGTTCACTTTAAAAAAAAAAAAAAACTTTTGCTGATAATTTACTCACCCCCATGTCATCCAAGACATCCATGTCATTCTTTCTTCAATCGAAAAGAAATTAAGGTTTTTGATGAAAACATTCCAGGATTTTTCTCCATATAATGCTCTTCAATGGGAACCAAACGGTTCAAGGTCCAAAAGACAGTTTCAGTGCAAACTACATAGGGCTTTAAACAATTTCAGATGATGAATAAGGGTTTAAGTTTTGCTCAAGCTCAAATGGTCAAACTCGAATCTTATTCAGGGTCTTGTTCAGACCCTTATTCATCGTCTGGTGTCGTTTAAAGCCCTTTGAACAGTTTGCACTGAAACTGTTTTTTGGACCTTGAACCGTTTGGTTCCCATTGAAGTCCATTATATGTAGAAAAATCCTGGAATGTTTTCATCAAAAATTAATTTCTTTTTAACTGAAGAAAGAATGAAATGGATATCTTGGATGACATAGGGATGAGTAAATTATCAGCAAAGTTTTTTTTTTAAAAGTGAACTACTCCTTTAAATACTATTGTATGTTTCTGAATTGATTTTAATGATTAACAGGTAGCTATTTTGCCAGAGATGCTTCATACTCTGACAGATATGCCAAATCCAGGAACGGCAAGACCAAGAAGATGTTTGTGGCACTGGTGCTGGTCGGAGACTTCACAAGGGGTAACAGTGGTTTTCTCCGTCCTCCACAAAAACCCAAAAGTCAAAGCTTTTACAACAGCTGTGTTGACAATGAGACTAACCCAGCCATTTTTGTTGTGTTTGAGAAATTCCAGATCTATCCCGAGTACATCGTTGAATACTCTTAATTTGTGCAATCAAGCTATTTTTAAATATTTGATACATTGAAACATTCTAATAATCGAAAGCAGGTTATTTACTTATTTCTTGAAATAGTTCTGAATGTTACACAAACAATTTATGTTAACATCACTGAAATCTTCAACTCTTTAACATTTTTAAATATTTTATTTACAGAAAATGTTTGTAGGTTATTACATATTAGGTAACTGTTTAATCTTAATTAGGTTTACTAAACAATCATCTGTGGCAGACATAACAAGAATAAAAATCTTTATGTATAAGGTGCAATCATTCCATTGTATTTCCTTATTGGCTTTGGCACTGAGAAAAAAAGGTTTTAATACCATATCAGTTGTATAGTCAAAAGTATATAGTATAGGTATATATGGTAGAATCACAAATTATAAATCAATCAATTTTTCAGTTTTATTGCACTAGATTTTAATGCAGAATATTAAAGGTAAATGATGAGTTTGAGAATTATAAGAACACCGAGCATTAACTCAAGCCCTTGAATTACTCGAGCATTACTAAGGTTGTTTTTTTTTTTTTTTTTTTTTTGTTCAATGAAGTGGACGGAATTAAACTACTAAAACTGTTACAGACCGATGCTTTGTACTATTATTTTCATTATCATTACAGTTATTTTTTAAAAGTATATACAATTCAGCCCAAATAAAACATGTTTACCAAAAAAATTTAAATTCTGTCATCATAAAAAGGTGTGATTTGAACAAGTTTAACTTTATTTTAATTAGTTGTTTCATTGAATAGATCTGACTCAAATAATTCATCAACTAAACAAAATATGCTACTTCTCATGAATGTGAAAAGATAGCATGGATGTCTAGAACTTAAATATCGGTCTGTCACAGTTATTGCATGAGATGACTTAAAATAATAGTGCACCACTTTTATGGTGAATTAAGACGATCACCTTTCCTGTTTTGGCTAAGTACATAACGAGAAAATTTCATTTTTTTATCGTGAACTATCCCTACATCAGTCTCTGTTAGTATTTGATTGTGACGTTTCCACCCATCACATTCTTGGAAAATGATGTGCAAAGTACAGCTCTGCTATAAACAATAAAGTTTGACAAATAACTATGAAATATTTGCAGCATGTAATATCCAGAACAAAATAGCAACTTTTATTTGTAGATTATGCAAAATCACTAATAAAGGAGATCAAATATAAGAGTGCACAATAATACAGTGAAAAACAAGCAAGGTGAAGAAGGACATTTACCAGGGGGGAAAAAAAAAATTACCAGGAAATCATGAGAAGGCAAGGAGCAGGTCCGATATTATTGATGATTCACTGCGATCCCTGGTGGCAAGACTGAGAAGTGAAGACTTCGAAATCGGGTCTTTGAGACTACTAATGGAAGACTCTGGTCCCCTCGGTGGCTTTTTTAGGCCAAGAACCGTCCACGTTTACAGTAAGTTGGGTTTATATACAAAACAAACTCTCAACAAACTCTTTCTATCGAAAAGTTCTGTGTTTTAAAGCTCATCATAACATAACTCCTTTCATGAGTGGGTCTAAGATGCTTGATATTAAATAATGACGATGGAGATAAATATACTGAGCGATAAACCATTTATTTAGTCATCATTAATACTTTCAATTTCAAATCATTTTAATATGTCGTCAAAGTTTACAGTTCATACTCTGAGGTAAACATACACATTCAACTAAATGAGTTAAGATAATGCCACAAGCAAGCTGCACACTCCGAACCTCAATAATCTCATTATTCTGGTACTGGACTGTATATTTACATAATATAAAATAACAGTGTAATCAACATAAAATCAAATACCTTGTGGACAATAAGGCAAGGCGTCTCATCCCAGTTTCTTTTCAAATACAGCATGTGATGCTGTTTGTGTTGAAATCAGTTTTAATCAAACAATTATAACAGATATGTTTGTCATGTGACTCCAGAATAAGTAATATGATTCCTAAATAATTTGATTAAAATCAGACTGTGCTGCTGAGAACTGAAACCGTATCAGAACTCATCCTCAAAAGTCTCCCTCTTGGTGATTTTGACAAAAATACCATTCTTGGGTCCGAGTGTGGTGTTCGACTTTAATTCCAGAGGAACCTGTGTGACGTGAAAGAGAAAATATTGGAAAACATAAGCTACATGAATTCTAAAGCTGCACTTTTCCAGTCAAACAATGACAAACCTCAGTGTCCTCGCAGGCCACAATGTTAAACCTCCTAAATATGTGAACCAGAGCCACTTTAATCTCCAGCTGGGCCAATCTCATGCCCACACAGCTGCGTGGCCCCGCTCCAAACGGCAGATACACAAATGGATGCCGGCTGGCCTTTGCTTCTGGAGTGAACCTGAGACAAATACAGAGTTCATTGTGAGCACATGACATGGGAGTCTGGCAAACAAAATGGAGAAATAGCTGTGTACAGATTGTGGAAAAATAGAGGATCTGAAATAACTACAAAATATTCTGTAAGATACCGTACAAATGTGTTATACAAATGCACAGAGCGTGCAAATGCAGTAAAATATTATTACAATTTAGATATTTTAATATATTTTAAAATGTAATTTATTCCTGTGATGTCAAAGCTGAATTTTCAACATCATTACTCCAGTCTTCAATGTCACATGATCCCTGAAATCATTCTAATGCTGATTGGGTGCTAAAAAAAAATAAAATAAAAAATAAATAAATAAAAATCTTAATTTGATCAATGTTAAAAACAGTTGTGTTACTTAATATTTTTGTAACATTATAAATGTCTTTACTGTCGCATTTGAACAATAAAAGTATTACACAACACCATTTTCAACTAAAAACTGTTATGTTTTGGAAGTTTATTTACACCGCAATAGCATTTTGGGGGCCTAAAAATGTACATCATCGTCATGTAAACATACCCTAATTTTTTCAACGAAAAAACAGCAGCACATTTGCATCACTCAATTTGACTAGCTAATGGAAAACTGTTGCTGTGCAATGCTGACAGCCATAATAATATCATCATAGATACAAATAATAATTGTTACAGAAACTGTTCTGCTTAGAAAGTACTGGATTGAAAGACAGTTCACCTCTCCGGGATGAATTTCGTAGGTTCGGTCCAGTGCTCCGGGTCATAGTGAAGGAAACCTGTAGGGATTTCCAGAGATGATCCTTTAGGCAGAAGCTGGCCATTCACGACACAGTCTTGCTGAACATCTCGTGCAAACCTGTGATGAAATACACAAAAGAAACATGATATTTAAGATTTACTCTGGGGGGGAGAGTGTTCAATGCCCAGAACCAATGTGTTTTCAACCGGTTGTAAAATAGCAGCTGTCATACCTGAATGCAGGTGGGTAGAGTCTGAGTGACTCGCATATGACCATGTCTAAATACTTCAGCTCCTGGACATTAGTGTAATCTGCTGTCTCCTAAAAAAGAGAATCAAACGTATTGAGGATGAGACAACACCAATCCCGCACTAAAATATTTCTAGTTACCATATATGGCCATTAGGTGGCAGCACAGCAGCAATAATCAGTGATCCATTCTAAACAACATAAAATGGCTTTTAAAATAAAATTGGAACAAATACATTGTACTATACAACGTTTCTTTGTGATCAATATTTTTATTGTCTTTAAATTAGTAGAATGCAAATCATATGTACAAACTATGTTCAGATTGATGCCCAAGAGCTGCCTAGAGTTTAAAATAAATAAATAAATAAATAAATAGTATTTGTTTGAACTGAAAACGAAGCAGACGCAGCCCAGCAGGCAGTGCTAAGTAGTCTATCTCTGCATGGCTCTGTGAAAATAGGGGTCAGGCACTGAGCACGCACCCGTGCAGTTCTGCCCACATCCTCGGCCTCTGAGGCCCCCAGTCATGCAATGTGGGCATTATAAATGACTGGCTGCTCTAAAGTCACTCTGTTCCACCAAGAAAAGCATCCGTCGCACAGATGAGAGGATGCAGCGGGGCGAGAAGAGGGGCAAATTCTGCCACGCTGGATACATCCTCCACAGGCACCCGCCCCCCTATTGTCTGGCTACACTGTCAGTAGTCAGTTCTCATTGGGCGTCATTCTCGTTCCAGTGTAGAGTGACATGGCAGTGATGAAACACTGTGAGAAGGGCAGCACTTTGTCTCTCTGGAGCAGACGAGTTGGTTTGCATGGTGTTGTGCATTTCAACAACGGACTCAGGACTGAAAGGTGCTCTTAGATTTAAAGTCCCCCTAGTCAATAAATTGTATCCATTAAAACTCATATTTGATCACCCAAATGACATATGAAGAAGGGTTTATGCATGTTTATGACAACTGTCATTTAGTGTCTTTCGCTCAATAATGACAATTTGAATGCAAATATGACATTGTTTAAGATGTCTTTGTTATGACATCTTGACATAAACTATAACATCACAACCTGTTAGTGTCTTTGTCATGACAACTTGACATACAATTAAGTTAAACTGTCATGTGGTTGGCTTTGACATTGGCTGTCAGGCCATTATTTCATGAATATTTTTCGTGGCCTCTTTGCACATGGTTTGTCTTAAAATGGGTGATGAACTGAAAATTAAAATTTTCCTTGAGCTTTCGAAATCTAAGAGGTCATCATATTATAAGAATATCCTGTAAGTTTCAGAACTGAAAACATCCTTGTTAGTCCAATAAAAGCTTTAATTGACACCAGCCTCAGCAAACGATTTTGAAACGTGGGGAACTATGACATCAAAGAGGTTAAAACACCACCCCTGCAGAAGAAGATCAACGCCTACTTCAACACAGCCAGTTTAGCCCCGCCCACCGATTCGCGCATTTCACGCATAGCTAACGTAAATAACAATGGCCTACCTCGTGATGACAAACCTGATCAAGCCACCGAGCAATACAGAATATTGTGCAGTGCCTGGTTGTGGAAGACAGTCGCTGCATATGCTTCCTCAGGATTCCAATAGGACTGCATGGATAAACTTTATTTCTAACGAAGTTCCAGCTGATGAGGTAAAACATCGTCGTCTGTTCGCTTCATTTCACTGAGGATTGTTTTGTAAACAAGATTTGCAAACCAATTAAGAGTAAAATATGGTGATGTGCCGTCTATATTGGATCTGACAGGAATTGTGCAACACACAGACTCTGGGTCGAATCATTTTGGTCGCCATTTTACAACATTGGACGTTTTGAAAACAATTTCCTCAAAGTGCATCTACTGGTGAGTTCAAAATCATTATAATATGCAAAACTGTTATCCACTCAGCACTTATCCAAGTCTTCAGTGTGAGACGCCCATAAAAAACTAGCATTTTTCATGAAGGCTCACAACTTGGGTACAAATTAGCTTATTACTTATTCATTTTGATGTTTTTGAATGCAAAAACCAAGCGAACGTCATAAGTTGACCTCAGACAACAATATAATACAATTTAAAAAGCCAGCTCATGACCCCTTTAAAGGATTTTAACAACACCATATAGACATAAACAACATTAAAAACTTGATTTTCAGCACAGGGGGACTTTAGACTTGTACGGGTCGTTTTAAAATACCACTAATTATTGACTAAACAATGGAGAAATTTAGTATGAATACTAGCAATACAAAGCGATCAATATTTTTAGGCTACCTATCTGTGCCATTTGTTTCAGTATAAAAGAGTATTTTAAATGTTGTATTTTAAATCTGTTGGCAGGGCTCTGTATTATTTCAACAATTTCTTTGAGAGACTATTCACCGTATTTCTCCCGAAAGGACAGAGCCTCTGTTTATTCTCTGACTCGCAGCCTCAAGTATTACTAAATTTAACTCCACTTGAATGCACATTGATGCCTCTAAAATCACAAAGCAAGGTCAGACGGCCCTGTAGATAGACTAGCCAGCCAATTCTTCAAGTCCCGGCTGATTGTCTTTTTTCAGCTTTCATCAAACAAACAACCAAACAAAAGCCCAGTACAAAAGATTGATGTCTATGATAGACCATACACAATGTTGCTATAATGCATGTGCTATTTCTTCCTGTATGAACTTGAATGCCACTTTATTCACAATCTGAGAGACTCTGCAAACAATTTTGGTCTGAAATTGGCTAAAGAAGAGCTCAAGAAAAAAATAAAAAAAATAATACAAAGCAAATGCAAATGTTAGACAGGGGTTCTTGAGCTCTGTTTGTTTTCGTCCTGCTAGCATGGAAGGGGAATATTTCTGATTTAATAAGTGCGCTAAACCTTGTTTGTAGACTGAAACTTTCCTAAGCTACAGAATTCAACCATTACAAGCAGCTTATGGTCCACTGGCGAAGAAACAAAAAAGACATGCTGTTGCTGGGACACAAATAAGGCAATTTTAATCCTTGTCTAAATTAATTTACACACCCTTTACCCTCAAACATGTTGATTATTGGCCTTTTTTAGAAATTAGGATGTCTCTCAGATGTTACCATGTTTCTAAATTCACGACCGACACGCTCTGAATTTAATTGCACATTTCCTTGTTCTCATATGGCAACAACAAGACAAACACATTCTGCATCGCAAGTAACCTAATGAATCCTCATTAAGTATATAGAAAAATCTGTAAAAAAGTAACAGAACGTAATTAAAATCCAAAGGGCCGTACCGTTGGAATTAATAAAACAAGAAAACCCTTGGAAATGATTTGACCTAAAAATATACTCAAACGTTTCAAATTCAAAAGCCTTGCCGTGTTCAAAGGAGCGGCCTGCTAAAACAACCAATTTCTATGGTATTTCTTGGTATTAATATCAGCCTCTTTTCAGAAAATGAGATTCATTTCTCTTGCGTGAGGCGTGTGAAGTGTTAGCAGGCTTTGAAGCCTCTTCACATCTACCGTCTCCCTTATTTATGCTTCTGCCTTCATTCACGTCTTAAGAGGAGACAGGCTATCAATCAGTTCTTGAATTTTAGACATTTAACCTCCTGTTTACGGCTAGCTGCCCATGATATGTGTGCATGCGTATGTGATATGAATTTTTTGCATAACTTGATGAGCCTACATTATATCAGACAGTGGCCCTCAAGTGTTT